AGATGTAGGTGCATCCAGTTGATAAGTTACAAATAGGACGAAACGCCTATCCTGAATCATACTGCCAGCCACTATCCACATCTGATAATAAACATCTAATTATATATTTATACTGACGTGTTTTTTAAATCATGAACTTTATTACTGTGAGTACTATATGAAATTCATTCTTATTTCACTCATTAGTACATTATAGATCACTGGTTTTATGAAATATGAAAAAGAAATTAAATATAATATTCACTTCAAGAAACTTGGCCTGTAGAACCTTCGGGGCTACTGCCGGTCCCAAGCTGGGATAAAGGAGGAGGGTTGGGCATGTGGTTGGCGACCTCATTCCACCAAAAATACTAACTTGAAGAAAAAAAAGTGCTAACCAGAACATTGACTTCAAGATTAGATGTGTACACTTATATCTTACATTATAGCTAAAGGAACACCTGATTCCGCTATAGCCTGAGCTGAATGTTCAGCCTCTTTTGCTTAAATTGAGTAGTGGCTTTCTTCAGTTCAGGTTCTCCTCTTTTTTGATCGAAATCTAGTGTTTACCAATAATGAGTCAGCTCAAATGATTAGGGTAATTAGTCCAAGAGTAAAAAAGTAGAATATGTGTTGCTATTAATATTATTACTACTATTACAACTAATTCAGTATGCAGATCATTCTAAATATGTCTGAAAATAGCTGAAAATAGATTTTATTGTTTTTTTTGAAAAAAATCCACTGAATTGAATTTTGAATAAATAATAATAATAACCTGTTATGTAAAATATGATGAAATTTGAAGTCAGTATATACGATTACTAATGTCATGGATGGTGGTTGTCAGTGTGATTAATATGTCTTGTGTTATATTATATTCATAGTTTTGAGTGGCCAAAAGTAGTTGAATTTCATTAAAATCATAAATCGATCTACATTAGACCAGCAACTGGAAAGCTAGAAGCACTGGATGGTCCTATCGTCATAGTATGGGACTTATGAGCAGTGCTCATCAACAACCTCCGCTCTCGGGAACCGAACCCAGGATGCCGGCTCAATGGTCTACGAGATTGAAGGTCATGGGCCGGATTCCCACGTATGAGGGTAGTAGATGAGCACTATTGATGAGTCCCATACTAGGACAATTGGGAAATTCAGTACCTCGAGCTTTCCGATTGCTAATCTAACATTGATTGATTCTCGATTTCAATGAAATAACATTCCGTTCGATCATTTGTAAAACAACATATAGTATATTCCTCCATTGTCTGTCTGTCTATCAAATAAAACAAGCCTTGCTTACATTGAAACTCATACATCAAACATTTATTCAATGAAACCATAACACTGAACTGGAACTTATTAGTGTTCATTTAAAATGTAATTGGTCACTAGTGACTAGCCTTGACCAGTGGAGTTCAACCCTGTCGGATGACGGGCAGTCGTCGCTCATCAACGACAATAGAAGAGTGTCACACACAATGACCTCAATGCATACAACTTGAAAGTTAGATAAACCATTGTTTCATGATTTATCATGAGCAAACTAATATTTCACAGATTTTTCAATTCAAGATATATATATATATATATATATATATATATATATATATATATATATATATAAGAAAGCCACACTATCGGTTGGTATTATCAGTTCGATAGTGATCAACTTGCCCTTCACAACCTGGATTATTACTCACTCAACATGTGAGAAAATTTGTCAATTTTACTAAGTCAATAAGATGCTTATGTAATTTAACAAATTATTTACACATTCATGAAGCGTTTTATGAGTATTTTGATTTGTTCAAAACATACCTAAAAACTAATAAATATTAGGCTACTTACAGAATGTCTATATGTATATCTTGGTAATAGTTGACTTCGTAAATCAAAATATTTACTTACGGCACATATATTAACATCTTTAGGATATTGTTATAGTTGAAAATATCGCTTGAATGAGTAATATTATAACCTGTCGTGGAGGAGAGTGAAACAAACCTTTTGCACACACAACCTGACCACTACATCTATATAAATTAAGTGATTGCATTTTCTGCTGACTCCCAAATTTTAAACCATGGATACTAAAGAATAAAATCAACACTAAATGGTTGTATATATTGCAACCCCTGATTTAAGCTATTTATTTACCAGACACGATTATAAATAAATGTTATGGATATGCAAAAGTACTTTCTGTAAAAATAAAATTATTTGATAAAATAGTATATTCTATATAGTTCAAATTATTCAATTTTGAAGTCTTTTTTTGTGCGAATAAACTCCTCAAACTTTATACAGATAAATGGGTAACTAACAAAGTCTCTAAATTTTCTTTGAATTTTACAGGATAAATAAATGTTTTATTTTAAAAAGATGATACTAACAATATCTGAAACTTAAAACATGAGTTAATAAAGAAGAAATATGTGTCCTGTCATTTTTCTGCCGGTTTAAATTATTTATTCAAAACTTATCAGAGTTCCTCATACGGTTAAAACCATTAAAATTGTGGTGCGCGCTACTTATAAGTAGTATATGACGTGAGTGTCAACGTAATGTCTGGCAGCAGAAGATGAGGGAAGATCAAGAAAGGAAGAGCGGGAACACAATGGGATTTGTATGAAACGCATGAATAAGTGAAATGTCAGACAATGGATTGATGTTTGCAACAGGAACAGTCCAGTTCGATATGATGAACTGATATTTTGCAAATTAACGATTTACGATATGGTTTTCCGATTTTACTGAATAACTCAGTAATTTGAGAGAAATACAATTCGGTTGCCCTCACCTGTGTTCTCCTTCACTACAAAATAACCGAGTAGTAATAATTGGCATTCGTTGGAGAACTATAAAAATAGACGAAGCAGTGAACAAATAATTTGTAATAGGCTGGTATCATTTATCTACAAAACCTAATGACTTTAGATATTTGCAACAAATGTGGTTCATTTAGGCAAACTAGCCAAAATCCATCAGTTTAATTGATTCACATAATTTCGGAATTATTTCAGTTCCGTTGTTTATTCATAATAAAGAATTTTATGCACATAAACTTGCAATTAAATGTTAGTATAAATATAAAGGCTATTTTATTACTTAGATTTACTTATGTGAATATTTAATGTTAAACAGAAACAAAGTTATTCAATGTAATAAGTTGTGATTTTTTGATAGCTTTACTTCTATAATTTACACTATTTTGTTTAAATAGCGTAATAATTCTAAGTATTCAAAGAGTTTATCAGTCATGAATTGTGTCTAATGAGCAACAAACAGACAAGCAAACAAAGTTTAACTTGTTTTGATTAGAGGAATATCTTGTATGATTGAGATGCATAAGTTAAATAAAAATCAGTTAAAAATATGGATTTTTGTTTAAACTACTTATTTGCCTACTAAATGACAAAAAAATATTATTGGAAATGGGTATGAAATAGACTTTGGAATAGATGTTAGATTGTACTGTAAATGTAATGTAAATCATCGAAAATATGTTATGCTGTATGTTTATCTTGCCTAATGTACTATTTAAGTAAAAGGAAATTCAGTCATTATCAACCAATAGTTACTGAAACTTCTATATTATAAGAAGCATGTATTTAATTTAAACGTTGAGTTCTGAATTTTTGGTTTGAATAGGTAACTTTTTGCTTGAAAATTACTATTTTATCAACCAGATTAACTTTTGATCAATTTTCAATAACTTGTTATATGTAGTTAGGTCATTTTCATTGATCATTTTATTAGTTAAACTTCAGACACTGCTGATCAGCTACAAAGAACGTGAGACTAAATATTTCTGTAAGAGACTGAAATATATTTCGTTCAAGAAACAATGCAATTACAATATAATTTCACGACGAACACGATAAATATGAGTTAAAATTTAAAGGTGTATCAGTACCCCAAAATGGGATATTAAAGAATAATCGATGAATCAAGCTACTCATTGGTTTACTTTTATATCTCACCTAAGTTGACTACCCGGTTAGATTTTAAACATTAATCCAAACGGATATCATGTGACTTCATTAATCTAGGACACCTCCTTTTTTTTAGTTTTTTCGAAATATACTTCATCCGACATTCAACCAAACATTCTCTAGTAAATAAAAATAGACTTATTTAAAACATACCTGTCTAAAATTAAGCCGCGGTTTAATGTAAGTTAGAAGGAATATACGCTCTTGAAGCAGCTGATTTATATACGCAAGACTAGGTTATCTGTGTAAAATAGCCAGTGTAAACTAATTGCGATACTAACTACAGCTAATAACTGTGGCAAAAAATTTGGTTCAAACATGGATTTGACTAGGGTCGAAGTTATCAGATTTTGTATACACTAGTTTATTGCACAAAACATATTGCAAATAAAAAAGAATCATATCTGTATGAAAGCAAAGCTTTACGCCCCACAGAAAATATTTCAAGGCTTATGAAACGAACCTACAGGCGAATTCAGTGAAACTATCTGTTTTTAAAAATACAAGTGATCTACGTGTCGGCATCATATTGCTTATTTCGATATGAAAAACGAAAAATTATTACTTCCGGATGTATTTTTTCCAGCTTAATTGGCTAGTTCTTTGTATCATAATAAGTTACATAGCAATGTAGAACGGTTTGATAAAATGATAAAGAGTCATTATCTATCCAAGTTTGGGTGTCTTAGGTTAATAGTTTCACTAACTGACACATTAAACAGTCATATACATACGTCAAGCAATGCGAAAATTAGTGTAGTCTATCACAATGTAAGAAATATACTGCAAAACATTTAGGATCTTTTGAAATTCATAACTATAAAATAATAATAAGGACGATAAATTACTAGATTTGGCCGCATTCTTGTAGTAAAAAAAAGAACAATCAGTCGACAGACGTTTTAATCTAATTTTGCGGGTTGTGTCATGTGCTCATGGAACAAAAAATTTACGAATCGAAAAATTTACATAATCAAAATAATTCACATTTTCGACAACCAAAAAAGGCATATAACTCACCAAGATCTATCGTGAGGTTCACAGACTCTTTAAAATGCAATAGCTTGTTGTCTGCCATGGTTTCTGATTGCCACCAGTTATTAGGATTTTTATCAGTCATATACTCCGGTGGATGACTCTCATCTGGATTACGAGCGTCACAATATTGACACCTGGTAGCCATTCCAGAATTTGACATGTGTATGCAATACTTTTGTCTCCCTTTTTCTCCACATGTGTTAGTTGCTGTTACCTTCCTATCAGCAGCAACACTAGTAAATGGGGGATAGCACATCTGTGGTTTGCCATTCAGATCTACGCATTCACTTGAAACCCATCTCGTATCGAAAGGCTCCTGTAAGTTTGCGAACTTGACTGTTATGAGTATAAAGCAACATTTAAGCAGTAATAAGTTCATTACTAATCGACAAGTGATAATTAGAATCAGAATTCACATAAGTGCTTTAGAATCTGTAGGTCATAAGTTTACAAGTAGTTCGTTTAAACAAACACTCATTTTCTTCAAAAAATTTCAAGATACTAGCAAGATAAGGATGAACGTTTATTTTAGATCTAAAATGACCATAAGCTTTCATGTAGAGATGGATAATACCCCAAAGTAAATACTAGAAAGACAAAGTGATTACTGACATGTCGATAACTGTAGTAAAGTAGTCAACCCCAGATTACATCTTAGCCTATTGTGGAATTATTATTCTAACTGCCCACTTATAAATGGTGCTCAGAAGGATCACGACTGACATCCACGTTGTGATCATCATCGTTTATATAGTCGAACTGTACCGGAAAATTATTCCATTCCTCACTTAAAATGCTTCCCCTCGTTATTTCACAAAAAAACATGGTTTTTCTACGCTGGATCTTGCAAGAAAATACCACTTAAATCCAGCGAAAATAGGGTATATCAAAAAATTGATTGTGTGTTTGAATTCTTATGGATGTTTTCGGACTGAAAAATGCGGCCAAAGCCTTACACAGCTTTATGGTTAAAGTGACTTCTGAATAATAACAATAATAATAAATATGGCCAACAGCAAAGCGCTTTATTCGGCCGTCTTAAAAATTATGGAGTCGTATTGCGTCTGTGCTTCGTGATATTTGGTGGGAAATTTCACTATAAAGCGTTCCGATAAAGTCACCCCTAGTGCTTTCTTCTCCTAATGCTTTTCACAAGCTCAAACACTTCGGTATGGTTTGCTAGCTGTGTATTTGGTAGCGAAGCATTTCAGCTACATATTACGGGGACATGAATGAACTATAACAAATGGCCGAAAACTCTTGTGTTATCACCTCAACACATCATACGATCGTCATTCACTTCAGGAAGCACGACCATCGTGTTATGTCGTATAATTCACTACCAATATGTTACACGTTGAAGAAAGTGAGAATGTAGTGTTCAATGCAATATACCGAAAAGAATCCACTCCTTTAACTTAAGGACTAAATGTCGATTAGTCAGCAATGACGAAGCTACAAGAAGAAGAAGTCGATTTAAAAGTTTGTAGTGAAAAATCGACAATAATACTAAAACTGCTGCGATTTCATCGGATTCTAGTATTATTCGTGCTGTCGTTGCAGGTACTAGCGGCCCTTTCTTACATGAAGTGTCGAAAACAGCCATTGCAACACCTGCCTTTTCTATCTTACTCCGGAATACGAGGAAGCCGTAAGCTTATATCAGAATACCTGCCCCATATGAACTCAACTCATGGAAGGTAATCATAAAGCTAAGTGCATTGCTGCTGCTGTAAATTCTAACTACATGCGATCAGCATGCTATGATAATTTCTACTACTAGATATTTTCAGTACATGCATTTGGAAATTATCAGACCCCTTCCATCATCCAACTACAAACCCATATTTACTTCTGCAGACAGACCTCCTAGATAGTCTGTTGCTTACTCTATAAAAGATACATCAACAGAGTCCCTGGCTTAGATATTTCTCGACTGTCAGGTATAAAATAAGGTGTACTATTAAACTATACTCGTGACCCTGGTTCCCAATTTCAATCTGTTTTATTCCATGATTTTGTCTGACTCTTAAAACTGAACAACAGACAAACAACGGCCTATCACCGACAGCTAATGGCTGGGTATAGAAACTACGCCGTCAAATAAAATGATGGTAAGTATTTCTGGTTGACTCAGCTTTTCACAGAGACGCTTCAACCTTGTCTTCCTTGGTATGCAACTGACTCACTTTACTGGACGTATATGTAGAATCCATTTTGACATTTTCAGACCTAGTTTGATTAGGATTATATTTTACTTATACGGATTTGTGTCATTTTTACTGTTTAAATTTGTGTTAACTTTTCCCGGTTATTTACTCCTTAAGTTAAAAAATGACTTAAATGAAGTCTCGAAACTTCAGAAATACAAACTTTTACTCGTTAGAATATCATAAAATCTTCAAATTATTTTATGATTATTTGGTACTAGATTTGAGGTTTTGGAGTAGTTGAGTGTTTGCATTAATAAGGATAATAGATGAATTTCGCTCACAGATCTTGTGAAATGTTTCGGTAACTGAAAGAAGATTAAAAAAAATTTGTTAGCAATCCTAACATTTTGATCTTACGCGTAAATTGGCATACCCCTTGTAACATGCTATTTGAGAATAAACTATTATTACTATTATATTCTCACCACATGGGTCACTCTTTGCTCCGTTTACAGCTATTCAACTATGTGAACCATTTGAAACTGATCCAAATAAACTTGCCACACGCGGTTAATTTTCTCACCAAAGGTGTGTAGCGAACGAAAAGATTTAATGGTATCTAAACGGTGACAGACTTATTTCAAAAAGGGATATGGGACACTGGATGACTCCCAAATATAAATAAATTAGCACACAAAATTTATGTTGGAAGTTACTTGGATATTCTTGCGGATTCATGCTTCAACTTTTTCCTTATTGCCATCTACTCATATTAAAAAGCTAATACTATTATGATATGTGAATAATCAAAAACGATATATGTCTTCTGGACAAAATTAGCTCAGAGTCATCGATCCGCGCAGACGGTAGAAAGATCTAGAGGTCCACAAAAAACGAAGGAGATTCAAATGAGTTTCAAAAGGGCCTTAAATCTATTTACGAATAAACAGCGTAAAACGGTTTAAAACTAAACAAGTTGAAAAGTAACTTTATGGACATTCTGCACCAATAGAAGTTCACTTACTAATGTCTCCGCAGGGTGCGTTCTTGGTCTAATAACCATCGAAAGCTTAGACACCAGTTCGCACTATGTAGGGCACGCAGCAATGGCTAATTTAACTCTTTACTTCACGCGAAGACAACATAGTGTTATCACCTAAAAATTTTTCTAACATCGTTTAAGGCATTCGCGCCGAAACCTTATGGTTCATAACTTCGTCGCCCCCTTACTTGTTGGTGTGAAGAAGAAACTCGATAAACACGTACTCACACACGGATTATCCTCTCTCCCATAGAACAGCTATTCCTGATGCATATCTCAGAAAGTGCTAGTTATTATTATTGATCTATCTCGCTTATTATCTCTGTTTACTTTCCCTCTTTTACACCTCGTTCCTCCCACTTAATCTTCACCAGCAATTAATAAACTAAATTATCTATTGATTTACTTAGTCCTGAAATCTTGGTGTTGTTAGCATTAGAGTTTTCACCCTAATATTCTCCATATTACAACTAAATGATATTTGGCCCAGTAACCTTACTGACCTGAAACAAACGTTTTCATTCAAATCACGGGATACACAAACTCATAACCATTGACCAACTGACTAGAATTAGAAAGTCGAGTGGATAAACCTCAGTTCAGTGGACACTGCCAAACACTTGAAACCGTAACGAAAGAACAAGAATCTAGCACAAATAAATCAAATGGTTCATACCAGCTTGTGAAAAAGGTATTTATTACTGGATGTTGGAGTAAAACACTAGGCGGAAATTCAAGTTTGTTGTTATGGCCTCCATCTGGTTGCTATAACTATGGTTTATACTGTAATACTCTGTATAGCCACTAGTTTTATCTTTTTAAAATTTCGTTCAACAATATGTTCGACAAGGTCTGTTAGGTCGTTTAGATATGTTGATTAGTCTATAATTAAAGTGGTGTTTTTACGTCTGGTCAACTCATCGTATTCCGTATTTTCTCTGTTTCCACTACCTTTTAGAGGATTTTTTTGACTTAATCAGAAAATTATATATATTTCACTGCTCGAACTTTTATAATCCTTCCAAATGAATTTCCGAGAACTCAAATTTCGGTAAACAACATTTTCGAATGACCTATTAGTATATATATTTAGTTTGTAGAGGGATCTCTGTAGTTATCATGTGGTAGAGCCCTTTATTTGTTGCTTAAAAATGTGAGGAGAGAATAACTGCTTTGAGATGTAAACTTTTAACTGTTACAGATGTGATGATTTTGGAATAACTCCTATGGTAATCTCTTAGAAAAGTGAAATATATTCCAAGCCTTCTCTTAAAAGATCCAGCAAACAGTACAGCCACCATAACTCCATTTACAGAATTCCATGACCAACCTTTCCAAGTCCCGAGGTTTTTAGAAGCTGTTTGGTTTTCGATATTAAAAGGTTATCTTCTGAGTTTTGATTCAGCAACGAAAATTGCAAGTAATATTTTTGTGTGAAGAGGACTATGAGAAAGTGGCACACCGTAACTGTCTGCGTTATTGTGTGTGGAATTTGATCAGAAAGAGGCACTTTATTCATCGTATAACGCAGTGTTAAGGTCACTCTTTGTAGTTGGAAATACTCTACCAAAATCAACCTTAACGTTCAATATGGTTATATGAGTAATGAAACCCACCACCATTCTTCATTAACTAGTGTTCAGAAGGAATTTTCTGATAGTCCGTATATTCTATTTCAGTTTTGAAAATCTGACTAATCAGAGGGATCTTGGGCCTCGATTTTTCACATCTTAAGATTATCTGCATATAGGAGTGTTTGGGAATCTTGAGTATAAGGTAGGCTGATAATAAACAAGGGAGTGATCAATCAGATAATGGAGCTTTTCGATACTCTGCTCAGCCAAAGTATTTGCGCATCCTCGCAAACTCTGTATTCTACTTTTATTTTACAAATTCGTAAAACGAGTATAAATTAAAGAACATAGCAATTATTGGTGTAGTGGATTATAGCTGATTTCACAGAACACCTCTATATGCATGTAAATCACAGCTATAACGATCGAATTCGTGAAATATTACTTTTAGGTTTTGATTTTACCAAGCACAGTTAAAGTGATAAATTTTGAGGCATATTTGTTACAAGCTGATTCAATCTTCTCATTATATCACTCACTACGGCAAGTATGATGAGGCACACGAATGTACATTTTGAACAAAGTTTTGCTTTAAACGAATTTCTAGCAAATTAACTGTTAGGTAGAAATGTACGTCTATAGTCATTTCCACGAGAAATTGTCCACATGAAGTTTAAAGATGTCTTCATATGTATATTTTAAACTTAGTTTGAATGCAATAAAATTACTATTAGACAAACATGGAGCAGAGAAATGAATCTAACTGAAAGTTTGTGTGGCTCTAACTAGTAAGTTAGCCTGAAACTGCATTGTGTATTCAATATAATCGCCTTATAAAATATGGCATTTGACCGAAGAAAAAGTGAGTTAGTAAAACTTAACGTGATACAAGTCCGTGGGTTTGCTGGTTGTTAAAATGAACTTCCAGCAGTAGGTCCTCATTTTGACAAGAACCATTAGTTAAAAATCCTATATTATGTCACTTAAAGTCGACAAAAGTGAAATCTATTAAGTCCTAAACATTTCAGATCTGGTGAAGCAAATTTTAACAATCAAAAAACACAAAACTAAAACATCTTTGCGTTGTTTCAGAAATCAATTGCCGGAAGGTTTTCATGTCGTCTCTTAAATCATATGCATTCTGTCTGCATCACCTTCATTTTTCTCTTTTATAAGCTTATTTCACTAGATTATAATTCTTGAATAATATTTTCGAATCCTAATCGATCTGATTACTGGTAATACTTCTACTATCTCTACTACTATGTGATTTGAATTGACAGTAGTGACTCTTTCAGTTAGCCAGTAACAACGTAAAACTTCCTACGAACGTACGTCATTTCAAGTTGCCATACCACATTAAGACACAGAGAGATGGAATTGTCAATTCAATTCCAATGGTTTTAGAGGTAGTAGAAGTATCAGCAGTAATCAAAAAGCTTAATGATCGAATCTATCATTCGAAATGTGTACCCAAGAGGAATCGATTTAAAAAAAAAGAAGAATAAACAGTCGTGAGGAATCCAGAAGATTAGAATTTGAGAGAACACGAAGAATGAATGCATCTGCGCCATAGCAAACGATTACGAGCTATGTCATTCCAGGTCTCTGACCATCGATTACTAAGTATCCTCTCGCAGACCCTAACCAAGTAGTCGACATTTAGCAACATGGCTCAATCCAGTCGTCAGTGACATTATGGATTTGTACGATGTTTTAATTTGGATGTCCTTAGCTTTCTTCCAACTCACATAGCTCGACGAGGCGGTCGGTGGTTATTGGATATCTGTGATAGTGTATTATGGCAACTTGAACTTATGTACGTATGTCCGAAGTTCTACGCTGTAACTGGCTGACTGACTGAAATCCTCAGAGTTTGAGTTGTTTGTAACAAAACAAATTATTTCATGATCACTTTTTAATCGTACGGACTATTTTAAACTTAAAAGAAAGGTAAATATTTATTTAGTCATTGTTATAGATATAAGTTTATAAAGACTAGATATACCAGATTATTAATTTTCAACTTAAATTTTACTCACATTTAATACTAGTTTGTTAAATCTTGTATAAGTATTTATATATTTTACCAAATAATTCGAAATTCACTTGCCAGTCATTCATAACCCTACGCTTATTTCATCTTACTAAAACTGGAGCTTTGATTTCAGAAAGAAAACACCACAAATCATCAATCCTTTGTACTTTTAAAATAGAAACATGGAAAACAGATCAGTTGAAACTACATTTTTTGTGAATGTACGTCTTCGTAACTGATAACATTACTTAAAATAGAAATAAGTAATATAAAAATATCACCAACAATAATGAATGAAACTTTACTAGAAAAATTTGTTCATAACTATGAATTAAAATTGAAAGAAACTTATCGGTAAGTTAGAATGTGTTTTGTTTTTTCACAGTAAATAAAAAATTAACAATCAAATTTTACATGATAGAAATTGTGATACATATCGTCTGAGTGAGTATAATGCAGCAGTTCAAATTCAAGCATGGTTTCGTGGTATTCGTATAAGATGCTATTTAAAGTAAGTTTAAACGACAGATTAATAATTTCTTCTTTTTTCAAATGATTGACATGATCAAATTGTTAATGGATATTGCATTCACACAAATCATTTACGAATGTTTAAATAAATTATACCCATAGAAAAGTTTTATTTAGAAGTGAAATCAGTGCCAAACGTTTTGGTTATATTTCAGACTCATTCATTGAATATACTAATAGTTTAGTATTAGTGTAGACAATGAAACTTGAACCCAGTAACCTTCATATATAAAGTGTTTAAACGTTAATCATTATGGTAGCACCACAGTGAAAATAGTCATTAACTTGTTTCAAACTGATATGATGCTTCTATTGTTACTGATAGCGGTATGAATTATTGTGATTGTTGATGTTGAGAACTAGGCTTTTTTTGATTAGCTTAGTTAGTAAATGAATATCCTGGGTAGATGGTCTCCATGAAGCTAGTTTTTGAATAGAACAGGTGGATTGTGGTTAACAGTAGATTTCATGAGTTTTATTTGATCGTAATTCATTGAAAACTAATCTAATTGAAGTTTTGAATATTAATAAAAGATTAATTCATATGCTTACAAATAATTCATTTGAAATCATCAATCAATCATTGTTAGACTACCATTAGAAACCTGGAAGCACTGGACGGCCGTTTCGTCCTGGTATGGGACTCATCTAATGGTGGTTTAACAATGATTGACTGATGATTTCTAATGTGTAAAAACACAAAACCTCCAAAACTCTGCCCCAAAATATCGTAACAGTGCTCACTAGTGACTAGATTTGTGAGGAAATTCTCGGAGTTCTAGTTGAGATGACGTGGCCAATGGAGTTCGACCCTGTCGGGTGTAGACAGTAACTAGCACCGACAAGTGGGTGAGGTCGCGCAAAATCCGTTGATCAATCAGAGAGTTAGACAATAACACCGTTGGATACCGGCCCAGTGGTCCAATGGTTAGGCGTTCGCTCACAATACCGAAGGTCCCGGGTTCGAATCCTGCCAGGAGCAGGAGTCGTGGATGCGCACTGCTGATGAGTCCCATACCAGGACGAAACGGCCGTCCAGTGCTTCTAGGTTTCTAATGGTCGTCTAACAATGATTGATTGATGATTTCAAATGTGTAAAAACACAAACCTCCAAAACGCTGCCCCAAAATAATTTATATTCAGTTGAGAATTTTTAAAAAAATAAAAACAAGTTTAAAGTTGAGTAAAACTATGATTTAGGTAAATGTACACAAATCACTCAAAATTGACTATGTTCAAATATTTAAAATAGACTTGTACAATTAGTTTTTTTGACTAGGTCAAATATTTTATTGGATTTAAAATATATCATTGAATAGTGAACATATTACTTTTTTAAAAAAATGGATACTATCATGTCGACTTGCTTGTTCTAGTCAGAAATTCATTCTTTTTCAAGCTTTTATAGCTAGTTACATGGATTAACAAAGTGCGTGGAAGGCTAATATTATCAAGCCGAGTAATAGTGTTTATAACCTATACCCACATATATGTAAGTTACTGGACTTATTCAGAAGGAGACATGAAAGGAGCAACTATAGCCACGTAGATAGCAGTCCTCTTCCTAAACATACGTGTTATATCTCACTTTCATGATCATTCGGTGGCATTTAGATCTATCTGTTACAGCAACTTGTAGTCTCCAGAGCCATCCAATCCAGAAAAAAACATCATTCCTACATTACAGCCAGTTCTGAAGGCTGTAAATCTTTATTGACAATTCTTGCGGAAATTTGAGAGTGTTGATTGTCTTTTTCCAAAACGTTTCACACTTAGAATCGAAAGAATAATTACTGAAACTATGAAGATCGTGTGCCTAAATACATGACAGAAAGTCGTAGAGGGTACTAGTGATGTACTAATAAGAATCAAAGTACAGTCTAGCCTTCTGTAATTTTCTAAATGACTTCAAATTGTGACAAATACCGTCTTCAAACGTTCGAGCAGATAGGAACCGCTTATGGTCACTGTTGGCTAGATGAAACATACCCAGAAGTGTTACGTTATGAAACCATAAACCGTAATCCAAACTAAAGTGCGACATCGACTATGCAATCAGTCAATCAACAGCAACTTAGAACTTTGTATGTACGTACCTACAACACTTCAAGTTGACATTCCATATTAGCATACAGACTAATCGAACTGTCGATTCAAATCCCATAGTAGTACAGATAGTAGAAGTATTAGCAGTAATCGGAGAGATTACGGTTCGAAGATATTATTCAAGAAGTAGAATCTAGTGAAATAAACTTAAAAAGAAAAAGATAAAGGTGATATAGAATCCAGAGGGTTAGGATATGAGAAAACACAAAGAATGGATGCATCTGCGCCATTGCAAACAGTTTTGAGTCATGTCATTCAAGGTCTTTAACCATCCATTACTATCGTCTCGCGCACCTCAACCAGGTAGTCGATACCTAACAACATGACTCAGTCCAGTTGTTAGTGATTTCATGGATTTCTGCCATGTTTTGGTTTGGCCGCCCCTAGCTTTCTTCCAACCTCATAGAACATAGCTCGACGAGGCAGTCTGTGGTTAGGCAACTAAACTATGCCTGTGACATTGAAAGGTTAATGCAGTTCACAGTGTATCTTAAATGTTGTTTTTCTTTTCAACTTCCTTTATTTTTCACAGACTTGTAGAAAAATGTACAATTCTCATACAAAAAACATGGAGAGGTTATCTAGGCCGTAAACGTTATCGAAGTTTATTATCTAAAGCTGTGATAGAATATCGACGAAATAAATTTAGTAAAGCAGCAGCAAAAGTAACATCAATCAATTTTGTGTTGAGATGATTCATCAATTGTGTTATTATTATTATTATTATTTATTCTATAATAGATTCAAAGTGCATGGAAAGGTTATTTAACTCGTAAATATATATTCAACTTTTATGCACGTAAAGTTTACTTAGAGGCATTAAAAGATATTGGTGAATTTGTCAAGTAAGAAGTTTGATTTAAAAAAAAAATTTTTTTAATTGAGATTAAATGTATGGAAAGATTGTTTCATTGTAATCAGATAACCATTGAAATAATAACGAAATACTGACTACTTATTTAATGATGGCTTAAATGGTTACACTGTTACTGTGAGAACAAAGTATTCTGGATTAATCTCTAGTGTTGTTCACCCTGGAAAAGCCTAACAATATTACCGAATTATTGTCTAGTTACTTACTTACTTACTTACTCACTTACTTACTTACTTACTTGCTTACTTACTTACTTACTTACTTACTTACTTACTTACTTACTTACTTACTTACTTACTTACTTACTTACTTACTTACTTACTTACTTACTTACTTACTTACTTACTTACTTACTTACTTACTTACTTACTTACTTACTTACTTACTTACTTACTTACTTACTTACTTACTTACTTACTTACTTACTTACTTACTTACTTACTTACTTACTTACGCTTGTTACTCCCAATTCAGCATTGGCTTCCAACCAGTACTCCTCAACTAACGCCCTCCTGGGCTTCACTTTCTAGTTCTGTCCAATCTTTGTCCATTCTTCACATGTCTGTATCCATTCCTCGGAATATTGTGCTCTTTGGTACTCCTCTTTTCCTTTTTTTCTTGAGGATTTCATGTGAGGGCTTGTCTTGCGAAGCATTTGGGTGCTTTCCACAGAGCGTATCCTATCCACTTCCAGCACTTCTTCCTGATTTCTTCCTCCACTGGAATCTGGTTTGTTCTCTCCCACAGTAGGTTGTTGCTGATAGTCTATGGGCAACGTATCCGAAATGTTTTGCGTACACAACTGTTAATGAACACTTGCATCTTCTGAATGATGGCTTAAGTAGCTAGCTCTCCAAGTTTCCGCCTCATTCATTAGAACTCTGTTGATATTTGTATTGAAAATTCTGATTTTGGGTGTTTGTTGAAAGTTGTATTGCATTCCGAATATTGTTCACTTTTATAAATACAGCCCTTGCTTAGCCGATCTGTGCCTTCACATCTTCGTCGACTAGTGCTCCCCGATTTTCATCGGTTCTCTGAATAAAGTCAGACCATAACTGTTACGCCTGCATGTAAACACGTCAACTGGATATACTTGAACTATTACGAGTTTACGTTGTCAGAATAACGAAGAACGAGGATCGAGGATCCGGTGACACGACATGCTACTCAAATCCGATTATCCCAACCTCCATATTTAGTTAAAATAAGAAGACGTGATATGAAGTAGAACCTGTATTCTACAAGCATCCAGAAAGTACGATGTCCGAATCCAGAAGAGAATTAGGATCCCGGACTAGGGACCCGGGACAAGGTCCTCGTCCTGGTCGTGGTCAAAACGTTACAGATAATGCGTATTTATACATTTTGGTCGAATAGGAAACAGCATCGAAGTCTGTGACATTGACAGTTAAGACGACCAATAGGAAGTAACATTTGAAGTGACATTGATGGTCAGGACAACCAATAAGAAACAACGTTGTAATACGTGACATTGATATCTAGGACGACCATAAAATTGACCAGTAGGAATTAACCGATGGGAATTGACCAATAATTCTTTTAGGATATTGGTTGAATATCCTAACATTAACATCAAGAATCTTTAAGAAATTAATTATCGATAAAATATTGATCTAATTTTTCCCAAATCATCAACTAGGCATCAATTGTCTGAATATGAAAAAGAAATGAAATATTTAGAATATAAAAAAGAACAAGAAAATGAACGAAATCGTATCATTAATTGGGCGAAATCACATCATTTTTTGGTATCAACACGTTGTCAACCAGGTATCTATCAAAATCCATTGAATAAAGAGTAAGTTAATCAGGTCGTGTGTTATATTACTTATGTTTTGTAATAAGTAGTATGAATTTAATTCAAGAATAAAGATCAGTTTGTGATTTAAAAGGGAAAATTTTTTAATTTCTACAAAACCATTTACTAAAAATAATTATGAACTCACCAGTATGTATTTTTGGAGTTCTGTTGAGAAACCCTCATCACTAACTACATTTCAAGCATGTCGAGTGTAAACCAGTTATTATCCGCCGTAGTCAATTTCTGAGGATCGCGCAACAATGTAAATTGATTGCAGTTAGACATTGATACCTGTAAATTCCAGCTGTTTCGTAACAAACATTTTTGCGAGAGACTGGAAGTCGTAAGCTCAATATTCAGGTGCAGGGTCGTTTAGTTTATCAGTATCCTGAATAAAGGTCGTATTAAAGTTTTGTGATGCTTTGCAACCAAGTGTCCAGTGTTTCTGGAGTTTCAGTTTCATCTTGGCTATTACCAGGTGATGATCTGAAGCACCATCAGATCTTCCCTTGGTTCTCACATCCTCCATGGTCCTTCCGAAATTTTTATTGATACAGATGAGACCAATTTGGTTATCCGTAGTATGTTTGGTGAAACCTATGTAGGTTTGTGTTTTCGTCTGTGTGGTAATAGCGTACCACTTATAACCAATCGGTTGAAAGCACACAGATTTGCGTATCTCTCAACATTTTCGTTTTTTCCCCCAGTACATAACGTTTCATGATATCTTCATATCCAATGTTGTCCATTCCAGCCTTGGTGCTTAGATGTCTTATCAGAATGGGCATTTCTTAATGATCGACCGCAGCCTCTCGTTGAATTAATCTTTATCGTCTTCGTTTTTATGATTGGTAGGCGCGTAGCACTGAGTGCTATTCATTGTAACCCCTTCATTCTCTGTTTTGAAGGATGCTTGAATAAGTCTAGGTATATGGAATTCTCATCCTATCAGTGCTCTTGTGCTTCTTTGAAGGGCAACAGTGCAACGCCTTGTGTTTGTAAAGTATTTTCTTCTTCATGGCCGGGTTATAACAGCATATCCGGTGAAGCTAGTCTCTGTTATCCAATCTGACTACAGTGTGTTTCACCGATTTTCAAGTGCCACCAGCCTGTGCCTTTTCATTTCCACAGCGACTTGAATGACTCTCCCGGTCTATCACAGTGTACGAATACTCCATCTATCCGAAATAATGGTTGCTCTGGTTGTTAAGAAGTGGCATTGGTCTCGTGACTTTCGAAGAAACTTGATTTTCTCCATGAGATGTCATAACTCTTCTAAACAGAGACCTTGCAGATGCCAGGGCATGATTTGAATGATTTGTTCCGGTTAGTATTTTTTTTAGAAAGTTGATTTTCTATGGGATAGGGCTGCCAACTCATATTTAACAGTTAAGGATGTTAGATCCCCAGAACTCGCTTGATAAATGACTTATTTTGGATTTTACGTTTGCGAGCATGCGCTGATCAGTTGATCTTGAGATTTCCTATTTTCCATGGCTGTGATTGGCTGCTGTGTATTTTAGTGTGCTATTTTCGTAACTGTCCTAAGGACGTTTCTATGACGTACAAATAAACGAGAGTTGTGTGCTTGATTGTATTGTGATTGCTGGGTGTTAGTAGAATATACTTTCTACGCTTATCAAGTCCTCTGATTTGCAGTTTGGGATTCAAGGTAGCCAATTTAGACGCTGGTTGATTGTCACGTTCGCGTTTATCGACTAAGGTGAACTCATACTTGTTTCAAGCGTACCTAGTGACGAACACAACATTAGCCCTTCTTTATATGAGCCTGAAACTGGTAGTCACCCTTCGAAGGGCTCCAGGCGGATTTACATATATCAATACAAAGTAATCCCGAAAAATACGTTGTTTACAGCTGACTATGCTGCTACAAATTACGAAGATCTAATCATAAGCATTTACATATCAACAGTGCTCTATTGACAGAACTTGTGAACAAATTTTTTCTGTTTAAGCTATACATAATTATTTTCATCAAGAAAATGAAACTTGCACTTTTCCCCTTTTTTCATTGCATAAAAATAGATCAAGTGACAAAGAGAAACTTTTATTATCAGTAGCTCGACAAGAATCAACAAGAAGAATTAAGAAAAATAAACAATTGAAAAAATTATCAACAAAACAAATAGATGAATTTTCATATCAAATCGATTCTTGTCATCATAGTCAACTTAATCAAGAATCAACAGCTACATTGCCAAAAATAAAAGGTCCTTTCAAAAATCCCAATGAAGTGAAAAAATGGATCAGTACACCAGTGAATTTATCATTACGTGTATCAACAGATTATTTCTCATTGAAAAAAGCTCAAGAAATTTGGAAATCTGAAGAATGGACTAATCGATTACATGATGATATGTGAGATTGGTAGTGATTAGTTTTGAATTTCGGAAATCAATATTTATTTGTGTGATAATGTCATGGACTATTCGTAGTGGTAGTTTGAGTTAGTGAATAAGAGACTCTGAATTGGACATACATGACATAAGTCAGTCACTATTGAGTGGTCGGCCGATTGTAAACAAATCTCAGTCCTGCAAGATGTTAGTCGTGGCACGGATCTCTCAGTGGTTACTTCTCTGACTGCGAAGCTAGGCAACATGAGAATGAATTAATCAAGGAGCATTAGTTTCTTTCAAGATTTCTTCCAAGCTGAAGAGTACCAAATAGCGCGAAATCTAAGTTAAGGGATATTTGTTAACTACTTCCAACCTCTACCTCATATATTCAATCAGATATCTTCGAACCATTTCTTGTGTATCGTGTGACAAACCCAGAAAAAGCGTTTAAGCAGGAATGGTAAATCAGTAGATGAAGTAGTGACATTTCATCAGTTGAGATGGTTGGGATATGAGTTGCGTATGCCTAACCATCAACTGCCTCGACAAATTATGTTTTGTGGTGTAGGAGTAGGTTAGAAGAATCTTAGGGGCGGCCAAATGAAAACACGGCACAAATCTAGGAAGTCACTGACAAGTGGACTGAGTCATGTTGCTAGATGTAGACTATCTAGTTAGGGTCCGCGATATAATGGTAACCGATGGTTAAAGACTTTGAATGTAGTAGTTCAAAATCGTTTGTAATGGTGCAGGTGCATCCACTAATTGTGTTTTCTCAAATTCTCATCTTCTGAATTCTTTGTCACCTTTATCTTTCTCTTTCTAAAGTTATCTCACTGAATTATACCTTCCGAATAATATCTTCGATTCCTAATCTTCTCCATTACCAATAATTCTTCTATTAGTTCTACTACTATGGGATTCGAATTGATAAATGCATCTCTGTGCTAATGTGTGGTATGGCAACTTGGACTGATGTACATGCGTAAGAAGTTCAACGTTGTGATTGACTGATTGACAGTAGGATGATTGGGAGTTTAATAAGTAAATGAACTAAGATGGCTTGCTGATAGTACGATACGCTTAACACAGTGTGCCAAACAGTGATCTAGTGTGGATACGTGACCGAGTGATTCCAGCTATAGTATGCCCATTAACAATGTTGTGGTCATTTTGTACATGATGTAAATATTGGTATTATATAAAGTAAAAACTAAAGAGAAATGTAAGTGTCATTGAAAGTAAATGAATTTAAACTTGAACTTTTCAAATGAATAATGATAAATGACATAGAACCTGGTACCTATGTGTGTGTGAGCTACTTATAAGTAGTATACGGCGTGAGTGTCAACGTAATGTCTGGCAGCGGGAGATGAGGGAAGATCAAGAAAGGAAGAGTGGGAACACAATGGAATTTGTATGAAACGCATGAATAGTGACAATGGATTGATGTTTTGCAACAGGAACAGTCCAGTTAGATAGGATGGACTGATATTTTGCAAATTAACGATTTACGATATGGTTTTCCAATTTTACTGAGTAACTCTGTAATTTTCGCTAAATATAATGCGGTTGACCCACCTGTGTTCTCGTTCACTACACCTATGTCGATTGGTTCAAGTTACCAGTCTACATTATACAACAATATGAAATTTTCGGTTTATTATAAGCCTGAGGTTGACTATGGTAAGGCTTTTTTAGTGTGAATAGTTATTAATTCTGTTGTTAGTAGAATTTTGAATGGGACACATTTTGGCAAATTTGAGATTGATCGAAGTTACACATTAACATCATTGGATACTACTGGCTCAACGATCTAGAGTTTAAGCGTTCACATACGAGACGGAAGGTTCTGAGTTTGACATTCGTGAGCTTAGCACGTAGATGCTCAATGCTAAAGAGTCCCATACTGGTCATAGCCCCAATAAGTGCATAAATCTTTCTTAATAATCTATCGGCTTCGGTAATCGTTTTTCCTCCAAAATCAATCCAACTCAAATTTCTACCATTGATAGAAATAGTGGCATCCATTCGGAATAAAAAGCTGTAGGTTTGTTTGCAAAAGAAATACAGCCAATCCCTATCTCTTGTCATGGTGTCAATCCCCATGTTCAGTTAACCAGTTTGACTATTGTACATAAAACCTTTGTCTTGTTTTATCTTCCACTCACAGATAGATGTACTGTTGTTATTAACTTCCTTCCACTGTTCTCTTTTTCTGTTACCTCTTATTTATTGACTGAGCTAGTTTTCACACTGGTCGTCCACCATCAATACACTATGAACGATTATTATGGACAACATCAGTGTATGGTTCCATACCGTATGGTACAAAACATTTTCGTCATACTGAGGATGTGGCCAACAACAACAACACGGCAATGGACAGTCAAAAACCGAAATTCCGCAATGTTCTCCCACCGATTGCCCTATTCGACAAATTCAATAAAGAATATATACCGGGTTATGCAACCGGTTAAACTATATGCATCAAACGTATTTTTTGTTTTTGGTCATGATAACAGTAATAATAATTATGTGACTCGATACTTCAGTCATGTTGATTGTCATATGCTTCTTTTTTACTCGCAGTAGTAGCAGTAGTAGTATATGTTTTATAAAAATGCAATCTGCAATCATCTAAGTGACATTTTCTCGTAAAATTGTACAATTTATGATGAAAACAATTTACTAAACCTTAGGACAAATGATTGTGTTTATGATTAAATTGAAATTGTTCATGAATATACAGTTTGTCGTGTTGTATATGATGATAGTTGATTGATTGATTTTCTGTTCGATTGTCATTTATGGTGGATAACTACTACTCACAACATGGTTTACAAGTAGTATGCAGCGAGGCATTGTCTAGGAAGTGACTACCAGACAGAGAGAGAGAAGAGTGTCTACAAATCGAAACTCCCGACGAGAGGTCAGTTTATTCCATAGATCAAAAAAGATATAAGCGAGAAGACAATCAATTACCTGCAAATCAATGATGAGTAAAGACACTGTGTACATATTTCCTAAACGAACAACAAAGTTTTCTTCATATCATATCATGACTTTGTCCTTCACTATCACAACTATGATTTGTATCGTACAGATTGTGTAGAAATTTTAAAAACTCATATTCATTTTTTTTAAAAAAAAAAAACAATTTTACACTACTGATTGTAATTGTGAAGATTTTTCTTTTTAAAATGTAGGTTGATTGATTGTGTACTTTGTAGTAAATTTTTTTTAATTTACTTTTATATATATAGAAATTATTTTTAAATAATATATATATATACTACTATTATAGTTGAATTTGGACTACAAACAATTTTTATTTTAAAGATCTGTGTAAAATGATGATGATTAGCACATTTGAAAAAAGTGTAATTTTAGAAAATTCGAAATTAAAATGAAATCAGAAATGTTCGTTGTATTTACTATAATTTATATGTGAGTAGCGATCGATAACTTTTGTAGAAAGTCAACAGAATACGGCTTTCAACGCAATGAACGATGCGTTTTTTTAAAATCTTCATGTGGGACTTAATAGATAGATATACCTCAGAGTTGATATTCACAACAGGAGGATTCGAACCCGTTCGCTTTCGGTAGCCACTCACTCACTTGTACAACGAGTATCATATTTAATTCAATTTGAAATGACTTGAATTATCTTGGAGGACGAGAGTACTGCGCAGCAGTTCGCTCTGTTCTCTTATATGGTTCCGAAACATGACCGGTAAGAGTAGAAGATGTTTGTAGGTTATTAGTATTCGATCATAGATGTCTTAGAAGCATTGCTTGTGTATCGTGGGACAACCGAGTAAGCAATGCTGCTATTAGGAAACGATTACTAGGTAAGAATGGCAGACAAAAGATGAAATATTCAACCTCCATCAGTTGAGATGGTTGAGACACATAACGAAGGCCCAACCACCGACTGCGTCGACGAGCTTTGTTTTGCAGTATAAGAGTAGTTTGGAAGAAAGTTCGAGGCGGTCAGACCAAAATGTGGCAGAAATCCACGAAGTCACTGACATAAGGACTGAGTCATGTTGGTAGATGTAGGCTACTTGGTTGGGGGTCCGCGAGACGTAAGTTACAGATGGTTAGAGACTTTGAATGACATGGCTGAAAATCTTTTGCAGTGGCGCAAGTGCATCCGCTCTTTATGTTCTCTCAAATCCTAATCTTCTGGATTCGTCAACACCTCTACTTTTGTCTTTCTAAACCTATCTCACTCATCTATTCTATTTGAATAATATCTTGGAACCCTAATCCTCTCTATTACCAGTAGTACGCCTACTATCTCTACCATTATTGGATTCGAACTGACAGTTGCGTCTCTACGCTCACGTGGTATTGCAACATGAACTGATGTACATACGTACGAAGTTCTACATTGTATCTGACTAACTGACTGATTGTTGGAGATATTTTGACTGCTAGCTAGGCTACATTCTGTATCTATTCTAGGTAAGATTGTGCCATGACGCCAATATCGAGGCAACTTGTATAAGATATTCATATATTACAGCAAGAATAATCAAATTTCAGTCAGAATATCAACAACGTGATGCATCAAACCATTTCGAATTGAATTAATTCAATGACTTAGTTATCTACTAGTCCTGTTAGCGAGACATAGATTGGATTAAAGCATGTTGCTTACATGATTGTGTTGTTGCACGCTGATTGTCTCTTTCACATCCAGTCAGCGCTGGTCGATACTCAGTTAACGTTCTACAATCTCATTTAAGAAACTATAAATATACTAACTAATTTTTTGGACTTCACTGACTTCCTCTTACCTTGTTATTGAAATATAATCTATTTCCTGTTCAACCGTGTTCTGACTTGGAAGAACATCTCAAGTGAATTAGTGTCTGAGAATACTAAGCATTCGGAATAGCTGGGTTGTAATAAAGAGAGAGAATTATCACAAGTCCTAAGGGTAAACTGAATTCCATCGATCAGACTGTATTATCATCATAAGTCTTAGTGAATTAATTGATAATAATTGAGAAAAGTGAACTTGTAATCCCTCATAAACCAAGTACAGTTCAATATATTCCTTATTTACAGTGATTCTCGATAAATGTTATCCGAGTAATGATGACCCAGTGAATATAAATCTCAGTGCGGTGAGAGCCCGCTCGCCCGCCACTCTTCTCCTAATGTGGCGCCCGCATTTCGATAAAAATCATTTGTAATAATCACGCAGGTGCATCCACTGTTTGTGTTCTGTCAAATTCTAATCTTTCCGATTATTGCTCATACCTTTTACTATCTTTACCACTATGGGATTTGAATTGACAATCCCATCTCTCTGTGCTAATGTAGTATGTATGACAAGCTGAACTGATGTACCTACGTAAATACGAAGTTCTACGTTGTAACTGATGAACTGACTGGCTGACTGACTGACTGACTGATAAATCTCGCTGAAGAAAACATTTTGACTGCCTTCAATTCCCCTCTCCGATATTCACAGAAAAAGAACACCATAGAGTATGATTGATTGATAATTATCTTATATAAAATATAAACAAACATTTGATCTTTTTTTCTTCGGTTTTTTCTCCAAAATAAAAATATATAAATATAAATAAATATAAAACTAGTGTCCTGTCAAATGGATCACAGATTAGGTTACATAACACAACACAACACAACATTATATCACATCACATCACATCACTTAACATTAAAAACAAAAAAGAGGAAGAGTTTTGTGTCAAATAAATAAAATAAATATCAAACTCTTTATTCTCATCTTCTTTCTTCTCATTCTCATTCATTGATTAAAAGAGAAAAATGTAGAAATATATCTATCATCATGATTACATAATTCAATGAAAATGAACTTCCCGTAGATCTTTACACACGCACACACCCGCACACACACGCACTCCGTGTAACATCAATAAATTGAATATAGAAAGGCTTGTTTACTGAGACTGATTTCTGTTCTGGAATTTCTTGAAAATCAAAAAAAGAAAACCCGAAGGGAAAAAAAATATTAAAAACGAAAACAGTAAACAAATGAGAATACAAGGAAGAAAGGTACATATATATATATATATATATATATATATATATATATACAGATAGATAGATAGATGGATATATCTGAAGATATTTCTGTAATCTGTTCTTCATTTTATATCGAAAGCAAAAATAACAACTAGTCAGTGTAAATCATTGGGAAAAAAAATGAAAACAGAATTTTTTACATAACACTTGATCGATCAGTCGATCGATCAGTGGGTGGGTTATCACAATGATGCATAGTTTATTTCATCTCTAATATTATTCTCGTTAACCTTTTCTTTTCTGTGTTCCTCACTGTGTGTTGTTTAGAAAAACAAAACTTCCACTCTTCTGGTTTATTTTGATGAAGGTAGGTATACAACATGATCGATCACAAGTGATGACCTACTCTTCGCGTATTTATTGATCTTCCCAATGGGAATGAATTTTTTTTTGAAAATAAACAACAAAAAATAAAAACTGAGCTAAACACAAACATGAAAATCTTTTTTGTACAACGACGACGGTGTAGATTGATTAGTTCATTGTGTGGATAGAATGTGTACTGTGTGTGTGTGGGTGTGTTTGCTGTTTGCTTCGTTGGAGTAATGTACGAACGTGTATGTGTATGTGTGTGTCAGTGTGTGGGTGAGTGAGTGAACAAATGAGTACTGGATCCCTGAATAATCAAAAATAATTATCATTCAATGAGTAGTAGTATCTCTGAGTGAAAATAACAGAAAGTCATGGAAAGTGAGTGGTTGATACGAAGTAAATAAAAAACTCAGCCAACGAACAAAGGAAAATAAATGTACAAAAAGGAGACGAATTGGGGGAGAGAGAGAGTGAGAGAGTGATCGAAGAAAAACGAGAAATGCAATTCATTTTGCTTTACATTGTCGACTGATTGATTGATTGACTGACTGATTGATTCCATTGCAATGAAATCAAATTACAATCTTGTCAAAATATTATTATTATTATTATTATTATTATTATTATTATTATTAGCCGTGTCATTCAAAGTAATCATATCATTCTCATGTTCATACAATCTAGATACATGTAATGTAGTCGGATTAATTTGTATCGGGTTAGGCATAGTGATAAGATGTTGATGTTTAGTAGGAGGATATTTTCTAACCTGATAATCATCAATCAGCTGATTATTGTTATGATTATTATTATTGTCATCATAATTATCATCGTAATTACTATTTAGATCAGCAGTAGTATAAGTAGTATAATTGTTGCTTTTTTCTGTAAAAGATGAATTGGATTTATCTAATGTATTGCTTTGTTGTTGCTTCACTGTCATGGATGATGGTGGTTGTTTTGTGTTGAGTAAATTCATTGGAAAGGAATTCGGTAAAGAATTATGAGGATGATCAATTTTATTGTCTGTTTGATAATTTTGTAACATGTCAACTATTGGATTTGACTGGTCATCAATCTGTGTGGAGAGAGAGAAAGAGAAATGAAGATGATGATGATGATGATGATGAAGAGGGAATTGAAATGTTGTTGTCAAAAATTGTCAAATTTTTTATTTGAATTATAAACTGGTCAATGTTAGAACACCGCTAGCTTGGGAATTTTCAGAGGTGAGTGTTCGCTGCTACGCACCTAGAAAATCAATCTTGTCAAGTGTGAGGTAGTCAGTTACCTACAAAACAACAAAGGATAAGCGTTGTGCCGCTATATCAGGAATTGGTTAAACTTAGACATCCACATCGTTGGATGCTGTGGTCTAGAAGTTAGGCATTCGCTTATGACGGACTAAATTTCCTGGGTTCGAGTCCCGCGCCTGGAGTAATGGATTCGCATGCTATGGAAAAACCGATATCTATTGCTTTTAGGTTTTCAACGGTGGTCTAACATCAATGGAATTTTGATTAGCATGAAAATGAAAAAAATTTTTCATTTTGCATAGATCAATATGAAATTGTAATTTAATATCAACATGAATATCTGTTTCTTGATAACCTTCATAGAATAATGACTCAACCAGCAAGTGTCTACATTTAGTTCCTTATTGATAGAAAGAGGAAATGCTTTATATATATTACGTCAAATAAAGTAGTTGTATTTTATTGTCACGATATCTATCATAGACAATCATCCAATTTTTTTGGAAAAAAAGAAATGTTTATTGATTTTGGTTGATGAGAACATGAAGCTGGAATTTCCACAATAATCGATTTCTTGCGCCCGAAAAAAGTTACTACTGATTGTAAATGATGATAAAACTCTAGATTTGTTAAAGAGAGGAGCACTGTTGACTTTCTTCGGAGAACTCCTTCATTAGATTTTTGATGTTATATTCTCTTCACATGGTGAACTTTTCACTCCACTGACATTTTAACTGACTCATGTTAACAACATTTACATATGACTAAATAAGTAGTATCTAGTGTACTTTTGATTTGATACAATCTTATAGAAATCTAGACAAATTTGTTGAATCAAACATTAAAATTATTTAAAATTGAATCATTGAGATTATTTCAATCGTAATTTTCATAAATAATGTACTTCTTTACACACTAAGTATGATCAAATGCTGTCAAACTATTTGTAAAAAGTATTGAACAGTAGTACTTGTATAAATTATTTGACATAGTTGAGAAAAGGCCAGTGACAAATGTGTAATAAGTTTAATAATAATAATATTATCTCTTGTGAAAACCGTAAAACTCATTCAATGAAAATAGATTGATCAGTCAAAATCATCTACAAGATGACTGGACCACCCAATCTGAGACAATGAACTTCAAATCTTTTTTTCCACAGCTCACACTCTCTTAAACACATTCATGTGGTCCGATGGTAAGGCGTTCGTGCACAATACCGAAGGTCCCGGGTTCGAATCCTGCGAGATGCAGGAGTCGTGGATGAGCACTGCCGCTGATGAGTAGTCCCATACCAGGACGAAACAACCGTCCAGTGCTTCCAGGTTTCTAATGATGGTCTAATAATGATTGATTGATGATTTCAAATGTGTAAAAACACAAACATCCAAAACTCTGCCTCAAAATATTCATGTACCTCAGGATAACAAAAAATTTTTTTATCCAACATTTCTTATTATTTTACGACAAGTTACAACTTACTTAAAGATCATCATTAACTCTACTAAACAACAAATGTTCAAAACAGTGGTTCCCTTTGATAAATTTGAACAGAGAAATGAGAAGACATATTTTGTGAGATAATGGTATCATTTCGTGCTTTCTCGTCAGTCACATACAAGCAACATGTTATTTGTGTAAATACAGTTTTGAAAATAAGGTCAAAATTTCTTATTTAGCATGATATTCACTCACTAGAAAGAACCATCGTAAACAAAGGTCAACATACAGTTGTTGTTGAACACAAAAGTTGGACTTTTCTGACCAATCAAGATAGCTTCGAGTAGTTTGAGTGTGTGTGGGTTTTGATGACATGTCACAACTCTAAAGGCTGATTTTGGGTCAATTTGATGACCACTCATCATTAGATGTTTTGCAATGGACGAGGCTGGGTTTCTTGATCGATTTTGAGATGACGGGTTAGGTGAATGAATCATGGATTTGATTAACCATCTTGGAATATGTTCCCCTATCCTGTCCTCCGATCGGTGATCTGTCCTACCTAAGTAACTTTCTCCGCAGTTACATGTGAATTGGTAAATACAGTGGGATTTGGACTGAATCGGTCTTGGAGACTTGATTGGGGTAACTGAGATCGATTGAGTTGTTGTGATAAGCCTCAGATTAGCTGCATTGAAGGTCTTTTTTATAGCAGCTGCAGTCTGTTTGGTTGTAATTTTCATGCAGTGATCACCCTTGAAAGGTTACTGTAGGTACACTGGTTTCTTGGACCTTATCTTCAAAACTGTATTTACACAAATAACATGTTGCTTGTATGTGACTGACGAGAAAGCACGAAATGGTACTATCCCACAAAATATGTCTTCTCATTTCTCTGTTCAAACAAATGGTCAGTTATGTGTGATTGTATAAATTGTAGACCATGACAGATGATGAAGCAAAAATAACTTATGCGTAATTATGTTTTCCCGTTTACGATTAAATAATATTTAAAGTGCTTAAGTATATTTATTTTTGTAAAGCATCATTGTCTAGCCGTTTAGTCAAAACTGTGTTCATCATATGATCTAATCTAGTGATCTAACTATGTTGGTTGATTATAGAGTAGTAGTACACTCAGTCTATTGTCTGGTAATTTAAGTTGTGTTATTGATTTTTGTAGTTTGTGAAAATTAAGGACAATATTTTGATGGTTGATAATCATAATAATAATAATGGCTTTCTTTATTCAGTATTATATATTTTTTCGGTAGAAAATACAAAACTCTCAGCTCGAGAATTGTAGGGGATGTTAGATCCTTAGAACTCACTCACTTGATAAAGGTCCTAATAATGTAATTTGAGTTTTCGCACATGGCTTGATCAGTTGACCTAGAGATTACGTTTCCCACTAGGATAGTCCTTGACTATCATTGGTTGATGCATTATTTTAGAACGCTATTTGCGTGACTACCCCCAGGGGCGTTTCTATGATGTATAAGTGAACTCATTTTGTGTGCTCATCAAAATCATATTTTCTCGGTGCTTGTAGAATGCACTTTCTACGCTACATCAAGACTTGTTCTGATAGTTAGCAGAACAATCGAATCAGAATAGTCTATCGTGTCGATACATCATTTCTCTGCTTGGAGGCAGAGACTGAACATCTAGTGATCATTCCTACAGTATGTATTATCCAACCCTTGTAGGTTTACTGCCATTCCTTAACCCAGACAAAGGAGAAGAGTTAGGCAGGGGATTAACTACTCCATCCCATAGAAAACCAACTTGCTAAAAAAAGACTGCTGACTAGAACAAATAATTAAAACCATTTAATAAACTCTACCCTTGAAGTTGAAACGTCTTCATTTTCACAAGTTATGACTCTTTCTTTTCGTTTGTCTAAACAGTTCGATTACCCCTATTAGTCGTATGATCTTAGTCGATAAACGAGAACGAGACAATTACCAGCGTCAAGGTAGGCTACCAAGCTGTAAAACAGAAGCCTTGATAAGCGTGAAAATACATTCTACAAACAATTAGCAAGCACAATCCAATCAAGCACACAACTCTCGTTTATTTATACATCCTAGAAACGTCCTTGGGACAGTTACGAAAATAGCACACTAAAATACACAGCAGCCAATCACAGCCATGGATTTTCCTGGTGGTAAATGAAATGTCAAGGTCACCAACTGATCAGCCCATGTTCACAAACGTGAAATCCAAAATAAGTCATTTATCAAGCGAGTTTTGGGGATCTAACATCCCCAACACAGAGATAAATTGTCGAAATAAATTCGATACCAGTAAAACAAATTAGAACTCCATCCGTAGCCCCTCTGGGGCTACTGCTCAGATAAAGGAGATGGATTAAGCTTGAGGTTGTCAACCTCATCTCTTAGAAAATGAACTCGTCAAAAAAAGGAGAACAGGTTAACCCCCAAAAAAACAAAAAACAAATCAACACCAAATATATATTGACCAGACTCACTTCATCTTTTTCATCAATCTCTTCTAATTCGTCATATTGTTTCGACATAATCGATACACGTACTGATGTTCTTGTTTGACGTTTTGATTCACGTTGTTTTCTGCGTAATTCTTCACGTAAACTATTCAGCCTCCATTGCCAACCTTGATCTTCCACAGTACGTATTATTAAATCCGGTATTAATGCTAACAATACTAAACAGAATATACTAAGCCATGTTAAACCAGCCCCAGGGCCAGTCCACATAATTGTATACGTACCATATAATTGTTTTCCCAAATCCGTAGGAAACATAACAACATTACAAATAAGAAATATGCCTAAATTCAATAACAGTGCTAAATTCCACACTAATAATATAATCCAATTTAAATAATAACTCATTAATAATACTTTTAAATTAACAATTAAAAATATCAATAATACAATGAAATTGCCAAAACACAGCACATTACTCAACTTTGACAAACCATCATCATTCGCTTGTCCTTGAAATGTTAATAAATATGCACCGAAAAATGCAACAAATGCATGCCAACATGCTAAACTAAACCATGTCACAAAACGTTCTTTTGATAAAATACGATTTTTTGCAATACCTTTATAGAGAATAGGAAATTCTAACAAAATCATTTGTGAAATTGGTATTTCAAAGATACCATATAAAAATATTGGTAATGATGTCATAATTAAATTGAATAGAATTAAATAAATTTGTGGATAAACAGATTGTTGTGAATAAGCACAAAAAAATCCATATAACATTTGAGGTAGTGTAAAAATTAAATTTTTATAAAAAAAATATAATACTAACAGTGCAACACGTTGATAAAAATTATGTCCATGTACAAGGAGTGCATTTTTTAAAAAATGAAAACGTCCAAATGCATAATCCGATGCACGAACTGCTTGTCTGCCTTCTTTACCATAAATTCCGAAACCAATATGTGCTTCGAGTATCATTGAGACGTCGTTGGCACCATCACCGATTGCTGCTGTAATTGGTACATTTGATGATAATGGAGATGATTTACGACTTTCTTTAATTAAACGAATAACTTCAGCTTTTTGTAATGGTGTTGAACGACAACATAATACAGTGTTGGATTCTAGGCAACATTGTGTTAGTAATGAACGGACTGGTTCCTATTAATATAAATAGAATGGAATTAAAAAAGTTATGTGGGAGTGAATAAAAAAATTTTTTTAAATATTTGAATCGAGGAGATTAGTATATTACTACTAAAATAATTATTCAAAATTCCTCCAGTTGGGGAAGAAATTAGGTAAAAGCTCTGGAGTTGACATTTGACACTTACTGATGAAAAACATCCAACTATGATGTTACAAGGCAAGCCCTCACTTGGAATTCTAAAGGCCGAAGGTGTAGATTAAGATCAAAGAATGTATTATGTCGAGATTCGGATAGAACTGGAAAAGAAGACCAGGGACAAAGTTGGTTGGGGAATAATGGTCGGCAGCCTAGGAGTATTAAAAGGCGTAAGTGAGTAAAATAACTATCGATTCGTTTTTATACACTTGTTCAGCTATCTTGCAATTCAGTGAATGAACCGTGTTAACTTGAGTAATTGACACTTACAGCTAGCTTTAGAAAGAGGTGATGACAGAGACGATGAGGAATTGTGAAGATTAGAATTTCAGAAAACACAAATAGTGGATGCACTTGCGCCATCGCAAACGATTTTAAGCCATCGGTTATAATCGTCTCGCGGACCCCAACCAGGTGTTCTACACCTACTAACATGTCTCAGTCCACTTATCAATGATTTCATGGATGTGTGCTATGTTTTGGTTTGACTGCCTCTAGCTTTCTTCCAACCTACTCCTACACCGCAAAACATAACTCGTCGAGGCAGTCGGTGGTTAGGCATTCGTAATACATGACCCAACCACCTCAAATGATGTAGTTTCACTACTTCATCTATTATGTCATTCCTACTTAAAACTCTTTTTCTAACGACAGCGCTGTTTACTTGGTTGTTCTAAGATAAACAAGCAATGCTTCGAAGACATCTATAAACGTAGAGGTTGGAAGTAGTGAAAAGCAAACCATTGACTTAGATTTCTCACTATTTAGCACTCGTCAGCTTGAGTATACCTGTAATCTTGAAACGAACTAATACTCACTGACTGATTCACTCCCGTGATGTCTAGCTTCACAGTCAGAGAAGTAACCACTAAGAGATAGGCGCAACAACTAACCTCCTGTTAAACTGAGATGTGTTTACAATTGGCCGATCACTCAGTAGTGACTCTTGTAATGTACTTCCGATTCAGAGTTTCTTGTCGACTCCTTCCAACTACCACTTTACATCTCAACATAGTCAACATGATATATCGAGCCACCTAGTCTTGTAGCCACATTTTAATCAGGCTGATGATATCTGAGTTTTTAACTCTTTATTTGAGTTAAAAAAAACAAAACTTGCCAGATTAAAAAACATAGTTCACTTATCATTTTACACATGAGCATAAATAAATATATACGCTCATTGTTTTGTGTGTTATGATTAGGAATTTTACTTCTTTTTTTGTTTACTTACTACAAGAGCATAATTCAATGATTGACCATCGATAACCACACCGAATTGTGTGCTTGGATCATATAATTTCGATTCATGTATACGTTCAATTTGACTTTTTATAAAACTTCCACATTGTATTGTATCAGTAAAATTTGTAATACGAATCTCTTGCATACCAGGATAAAAATGTCCAGCTGAATAACTTATATTCACTGCCGTTTCTTCTTTATCACCTGTCAGTACCCAAACCTTAAATTTTAAACAAACAAACAACACAACCAAACAATAATAGAAATATTGATCAATAAAATTTGTGATATTAAAAGGGATATTGTTGTTATTATTATTATCATTATGATTATTTCAATCTCAGAAGAGGCAAAAATCATAATTGGCTTACTTTCTATCATAAACTTTAGCCAATTGTCAACGTTTTTCATTTAACTTTTAATTAGTAAGTTAACTAGGAGATGGGGTCTCTAATCTCATGCCTAACCACTCACTTTATCCAAACTTAGGACGGGCAGTAACTCCGGAAGGGCCTCAGGATAAGGGCCTAGGATAAAATAGGTTAATGAATGCCGGTCAGTGGCTTATGCTCCATTTGGGTTAACAGTAGTAGGTAAGTAAGTAAGTAAGTAATTAGGTAAGTAAGTTAACTGAAGTAAATTTTTATTGTTTAAAGAAATCGACTTAAAAATGTAAATTAATCTTTGTCTATGTAATCAGGAATATAACCGAATTATGTTAGATGAACGTTTGTGTAATCAGTGTTGGTTAAGCTCCAAATGATTTCATGAGTTCACTATAAAATTAACTTTATGGTAACATTTTAGATTATGAAAATGAGTGACACAGATTCAAAGCTAACCGATTTTATTAAAATTACAACGTATAACATACTGACGAATATCGACAAGTATGCAACAAGTATATATATCTAGAGCTTCTTGCTAACTACCTCAAACTGCTTAACATCCGATTAGAATGTTTGAAATTTTTTGTCTGTCTCATGAAATGAAATTCAAGCAAAAAGAGTACTTTTACGTCCACTTAGTTTGATGTGAATTCAGCAATGAAGGCTTCTAGATGATTGTTAGGTGTATGCTAGTTATTTTGTTATGAAGCTTTTAACAGAAAGACAAAATCAACACTTATTATTTGGTTAATAGAGAAAGAGTGAGTAGTTTGACTAGAGGATAAAAATTAATTTTACGTATACTAATTCAAAAGTAATTTTGTGGTTCCTGATGTTTTATACATGACTAAAAAGTACATTGAACAAATGATCATTGTTTCTTGGCACCATTATGTTAGGATAGTCACTAGGTATGCTTGAAGCTAGTACGGGTTCACCTTAATGGATAAACGAGTACGAAACAATGAACCAACGTCCAGGTAGGCTACTCTGACCCGTTGACCCGAAACAGCTAACTAGAAGTCTTGATAAAGCGTAGAAAGTGTATTCTACAAACACCCAGCAAGCAAAATTAATTCAAGCAAACAAATTGCGTTTACTTATACTCTATAGAGACGTCCTTGGGACAGTCACAAAAATAGCACACTAAAGTACACAGCAACCAATCACAGCCAAGGATTTTCCTGGTGGGAAATGTGATCTCAGGGTCAACTGATCAGATCATGCCCAGAAACATAAAATCGAAAATTGAGGCATTTATCAAGTGAGTTCTGGCGATCTAAAGTCCCCAACACATTATTACTGAAGCTATTTCTCTCAGTTGAAAGGTTAGTGTTATTCTAGTCAGTTGATATGCCTGAAACTATTACGAGTTTACCTTAGTCGGTAAACGAGGGTTAAGATGGATGTTGCTGTGACACGATAGGCTATTCTAATCCGTTTGACTCCGGCCCGGCTAACCATAGCGAGAAGTCGTGATAAGGCGTACAAAGTGCATTCTACAAGCAACCCAGAAAATATGAGGTTCACGAACAAACAAATCAAGTTTATTTATACATGATAGAAACGTCTTTGGGATAGCCACGAAAATAGCGTACTAAAATAATGCATCAACCAATGATAGTAGAAGATTTTCTGGGTAAGATGTAATTTTAATGTCAAATGATCAGCCTTTTCTCAAAAAAATAAAATCCAAAATTAGGACCTTTATCAAGTGAGTGAATTCTGGGGATCTAACGTCCCTAACAGTTAGTCAAATATAATTTTCATGACCACAGCTTAAATTACATATTATTATTAAAACTAAACATGATTATTAGCGCAGAACATCAGCTAATCTTCAGAAGTGTGATTAAAATTCAAAGTATTCTACAAACCAGGAGTTAATCTTTCCATACTTTTTGAATCTTTAAAATTCAAATAATAAACTATTAAAAATAAAAATTCAAGTTTTAATGAAGAGAATTTATGTGGATTGTATTTTTTTTTCATGATTAAAATGTTGACCGAATCCTCAGCAGTGCGCATCCACGACCCTCACACACAGGAATCGAAGCTTAGACCTTCGGTCTCGCTTTTTCACCACTAGCTGTCGGAAATAACTGTGCAACTCTTTGTTCGCCTAACAATAATATGATGAGATTCGTGATTTAAATTTGGCAAATACAATTTTGACGTAAACATTTAATGAATTACTATGGAGTCAATAATAAGCTGATAACCCCGTTTTAAAACAAAAACTAACTTTAATTCCTCCTCAGCAGTGTACATCCACAACCCTTACACGCAAGAGTCGAACCTTGAACCTTCACTCGCATGCGTTCACTAATAGCTATCAGGAATACGTACTTAACTTTTTGCTAACATAACATCATAACATTCATATAAAAATTCAATCAATAACTACGGAGTCAATAATATGTTAACAACCATGTTAAAAAAAACACACACACTAACTTTAATTCCTGCTTCACGAAGTGCTGTAATCGTCTCAGGAACACCTTCTTGTAGCATATCTTCTATACCGGTGCATCCAATCAAAGTCAGCTTGCGTTCAATTTCATTATAAGCTGTGATTAACTCTTTATGACGTTCTGCATCGATCATACTTCTTGCTTTGTCAAGTTTCAATTTCAATTCAGTCCATTGTTCCATGCTAATTAATCGAATACCCATAACTAGGGTACGTAAACCTAAGGTGGCAAATTCTGTGACTTGTTTCATAATTTGATCTGGATCCATATGAAATTTTGTTGCTGACACGCCACAAAAACTATCACCTAATGGATCACCATAAGCTGTGAATGTATTTGATTGTTGTGTAAGATTAATCTAAATAAAATTTGTTTTTTTTTCATTTTTAATAAACAAAAAAGAAAGAGAATAAACTGATGAATGGGGATTTGGCTTGATAAAATTAGAAAATTAGAAAATGTTTATCGGTTTGAATAAAAGAAATGAAACTGTGTAGAGGAATTAATTGCAGCGTGAAGCAAGCCCTAACTTGGAATCTTTAAAGCTAAAGGAACATTGGTAGATGAAGGAACACACCGCACCGAGAAATGGAGACAGATATGAAGAGAACGAATAGTGATTAGGTAGAAATGGAAAATAAGGCCCTAGAGAGAGTCGGTTTAAGAATGCTGATCGGTGGGCTGTGCTTCATTGGAAGAAATAGGCGTCAGCAAGTAAATAATCAAGTAAGTAAGTAAGTAAGTAAGTAAGTAGGTAAGTAAGGGAGAGAAATTTAAAAATATCAATCAATCTTCACTCTATTTATTCAGAAAAGATAGATATTTTCAAATTAATGTACTTTTGTGAAGCCTGTGGTATGTTAAGAATGCACATACATGTCAAGTCTAGATGGGATATTTTAGCTTTTGGAAAAGTTAGCCCGTTTATTCATTTTGAGTTATTAATCGCACAACTTTTGACCTTGTCAATTATTCACTGATGATGTTGGTTATTGTTACACTTGTGCATGTCTGCAAAGCTTGCTTCACTTAAGACATGTCTGACTATAAATACTTAGTCCGGCCTCATCACAGTGAGTTAACCTACTTGCTTTGTCCAATTCACTTCACTTCTCTTACACGCAAACGCCTAACACTTGGACCATTGAGCCAGCAATCAAAGTGGGTTCAACCCTGTTGATTGTAGGCAGTAACTACCGAAGAGGTTGCTCAAAAACATAAATTAATCAAAGTTAGACATTAACACGGTTGAATGCCGGTTCAGTAGCCTAGAGGTTAAGCGTTTGTTTGCGAGACCGAAGGTCCTGATTTCGATCCCTGCGAGAGCGGGTTCTGGATGCGCATTGCTGAAGAGCCCTACACTAGGACGAAATGGTCGATTTCTTTTGAAAGTACTCAAATATCATATAACCTAAGACTTTAAAAGTTATCAGTTAACATGTTGAAACAATCAATGTGTTTGTGTACTCGCAGAAACCATCTTTAAAATGAACTAGAGAGATTTTTGATGTTCATCAACTGTTACATGGATTTAATAGCTTCAGTTGATATACATTTTTTGGTTCAGATTCATTGAAAATTATTTTTTCTAAAAAAAAGCTCTCTATCAAACCTCAAAACCATCAAGCCTTCATCTGACTTCAATCAATCCACAAACACAATCTATCATTTTCTTCGGTGTATAACTGCCTAATACGCAACAGTGTTGATTCCTGCATGCGAAGTCGCAAATAAGCATGCACTAGTTCCAAGTTTTCAATGGTAATCTACCCAAAAAAAGAATCATTTCGTACTTTCATTTATGAACCCAAATTTTATTTTCTTCCATAAATTATGAATACTTTTTTTTGTAAATTATTTAATGTAAATTTACATATTATCATACTACTTACTTTACTACTGTAATTTATACACTACCCCATTCAATCAACCAAAAATGTTCACATCTATGTGTATATTATTTACATAGATTGATTTATGAAATTAATTTAAGTAGTAGTTTTTTTATAGTTTTACATAGTAAATAATTTTTAAAATTATGATGACCTATTTTTTCTTGTTAATCTGAATAAAATCATTCATCTGTTCAATGGTTCAATAATAACATTGAACAATGAATGAATCAGCTTTAAGTACAACTGATAAAAATATATTTATATATTTATTTATTCTGATGTCTAAATAGTTATCAGAGATCAGTAGTGTAACTTAAGAAAGAAAATTGTAAAGATATTTAGTTTATGTGAAGCACTCTCCAAGAGAATGAGAGTTTCTCGATAATAATAATAATAATAGTAATAATAATAATAATAATAACTCTAACTTCACTCATTTACTATAACTTATTTAATTCTGAATAAAGACATTCTAACTCTGAGGACAGAGTAAAAATGGATTGAATTACATTTTTCTGGTTACCTCTTTTTTTTAGTTAGTTAGTTTTCTACAGGATGAAGTCGCCAACCTTATGGCTAACCCTCCTTCTATAACCGGGCTTGGGACCGGCAGTAGCCTCAGATGGACTCCAATTAGGTATACACTTCATATGACGTAATGGTATTGATGTTTTGTAATGATTATTTTAAGTCCACGTTTAACCTACTACTACTTCCAATGTTGAACGATTGGCTAAAAAAACTTCTTTTATCGTATTTTATATTTTTCGTACTATTATCAGTACACTTGTCTTTCTACTCTCAACTTGTACTTTTCCACCTATTTTGTGTAGCCACGTAATCTCTATTTGATTGTGATTATTTACGCAGCATGAATTACACATTTTTGAAACCATGAATCGATCAATGTTAGACCAACATTAGAAACCTAGAAGCACTGAATTCATGGTTTCAAAAATGTGTAACTTACTCAATCTTCACAACCCCGTAATGCAAATTACCTGTGCTCACTAGTGAAGACTAGCTTCGTGAGGAATCTTCTCCGAGTTCTAGTGGGAAGACGTGACCAGTGAAGTTCAACATGTTCGGGTGTAGACAGTAACTACCGAAGACTGTGTATGAGGTTGCGCAACTCCGTGAATTTGATCAAGTTAGACATTAACGCCGTTAGATACCGGCTCAGTGGTCCGATGGTTAGGCATTCGCGCACAATACCGAAGGTTCTGGGTTCGAATCTTGCGGGATGCAGGAGTCGTGGATGCGCACTGCTGATGAGTCCCATACCAGGACGAAACGGCCGTCCAGTTCTTCCAGGTTTATAATGGTGGTCTAACGTTGATTAATTCATGGTTTCAAATAAAACTTAACAATCTTCACAACAACTCCGCAATTAATTACATTGATTTGAAAAAGAGAACTAGAATACTCACGTCGTTTACAAATGAAATTATACTTCAACATATAGGAATTGAAAAACTAATTTTATTGATATAAAAGTAAAAAAAACCAAGTAAGCACTATGTGTTAATAAATCTACAAATTACTTACTCGATTTAACAGACTTGTTTCAGCACCTTTGCATAGAATCAGAATTGGAAAGTTCAATGAATCCGAGCGGTCACTTTCTTTCGGTACAAATTGTACAACTACTGACATACATTTTCTTGTTGCATCAAATTCAAGTACATCTAATAAACGATATCGTACTGCTTCACCTTGAATTGTAATTACCTAAAATATTAAAAAAGTTGCGTGTTCATTGAAAAGTCTAATTTTTTCAAAGAAAGAATTTGACTACTTTAATACGAGGTTTTAGTAGTGTATTTCTATTAAAGGATAATAATACGCATCGAGGTTACACCGTATCGGTAATAAGTATCAACAGTCATTTACAAAAAATACTTTGAACAAGAGAAGGATAAAAATTGCGGTGGATTTTTTTCTTTGAGGTGGATGTTTTGGTTGTGATCAGCACAAACGTCAGACAGAAGAATTGAAGTATTCGAATTTCTCCACGTATGACTCGTAGCTTATTCTGTTGACCTCGATCTTGATTCGGTTGTTAACGTTTCGTTGTCTTCAGTTTTGTTTTAATTGTATCCCCCTTCCACCTGTTTCTTGATCCTATGTTCGTCTATGATTTTTCTCAATGGTCGACAAATTGGATCAATGTCAACATGTTTGTCGACTGTTGGTTGACATGAGTGCCAAGCTTCTTAAATTTACACTGGTGTTCTTTGTACTCTCTCTATACAAAAATTCAGCATTGTTCCAATAGCATGTAAGTCCTTAGATGTCCGTATATATATTGATATAAGGGAATAAATCTCATGGCGTTTGACGGCTAATTGATGTTTACGCCGACACAGCTGAAGGGGAAATCCGTTTTGTCCGATGGAATGTTTTTCAAAGTCTGAGCAGTTGTTTATTGTGTAGATGATATTTAGTTTTTCTTCCATTGTCATCTTATCTTTTGGTCTACCTTGGATTGATTGAAGTGATTATGTTGGTTTGTATGCTGTACTTATTCCAGATAATCCGCCTTCATTTCTAGTTCTGTCCAACTTTTGTTGATTCTTCTTATGTCTGTCTCCATTTATGGACGTAATTTGTTCCTTACCCTTCCGCTTTTCCTCTTGACTTTGAGGGACCAAAGTTAGCGCTTATTTTGTGACTCAGTCAGGTACTTTCGCAATGTATGTCCAACATCCAACAACTCCAGAGCTTCTTCTTGACTTCCTCCTCCACCGGAATCTGGTTTGTTCTTTTCCACAGTAGATTGTTGCTGAGAGTCTCTGGTCAATTGATCCGAAGTATTTTGCGTAGACAGCTATTATTCAACACTTGTATCTTCTGGGAAAATGGCCTTCGTAGTTCTCCAAGTTTCCGTCTTAAATAATTCAGTGACTCTTATCCATTTGCCTATGTATAGATATGCGTACATTTTAATCTTATTCATTCATTCGCCTGCTTGTCATTTTGACAATCGCATTTTATTTATGCTTTATGTACCTGTGATTTGGTGGTCTATTTGTGGTGCGCCAAATAAACGTATTCAACACCTAGTATTAGTTTTTTGATAGATAAAAACCATGAGGCGTTATTTTAGTAACGTTTGTCTCAACGAGCAGCATAAGAAGTGTAAGAATAGATCGAATACCGACAGCCACAAAATTAGTAACGCACCGGCTATCACAGATCACAATGATGCAGAACTATCTACTTTTCATCTTCATATTAAAGTTTTTCGTGTAACACACTATTGAACTAGATATGCTGATAAAAAGTAGTTGTTACACATTGAAATCATAAACTAATCATTGTTTTCTGTGTAAAAAAATGATCTTCATAACTCAAGCTGAAAAATCGTATACAATGTGCTGACTAATGACTTGCTTCGTCAGGAAATTCTCGGAGTTCTAGTGAGAAGACTTCACCGGTGGAGTTCATACCTGTCGGATGTAGTCAGTCTCTACTGAAGAAAATGGGTGAGGATAAGCAAAATCCTTAGGTCGATCAGAGTTAGACATTAACACCTATGGTTACCGGCTCGATGGTCTGTTGTTCACGCTCAAGACCACGCACTGCTGATGAATCCCGTATTTTGATGAAACCACCTCCTAATGTTTCCAGGTTTCTAATCGTGCGGTCTAACTATGATTGATTCATAATTTCTATGTGTAAAAACAGTAGTCTCCATAAATCTAATTGAAAACAAAGTAGTTGGTTAGCGGTTCTACTCATGGATGTTATTCTCGAAACAAATATACATGTTAATTTTTCTTTAAAAAACATATTCCCATTTTAAGAACTGAACCTTCTCATTTATTGTCAGCATTGTACACATATTCTGTCATTGTACTGTACATCAGAGTTAGTGAGTGTGAGTGTGTGTGTGTGTAGTAATGATAAATAATTGTACATTGAACATAAACAAGCTTATTTACTCTTTACTTTCTATAAATTAATTTTCCTAAATAAAAAAACAATGTGGTTTCTTATTTTTTTAAAAGGTTAAACAAAAATAGAAATAGAATACAAATTTTATAGTAAGAAAAAAAGAAGTTTTCTTTTTTTTCAACTTCTTTTTTTTGTTGTTTAAAATGACCTCGATGCGGTTGTTTAGCAACAGAAGTACACAATAAAAGTTACCAATACTAATTAATAATAATAATGATAATAATACAATAGTACCATTTTTCAATGTACTAATTTTTTTGTTTCTTATCTCTGTACAAAATTTACATTGTGAAATGGGAGAAAAAGGTGAAACGATAATAATTGCAAAAAAATATTTGGTAAATGTATGGTTTATTGAAAATATTCAATGAAATTGTACATTGAACAAACAATGCATATAAACAAATGTTGTTTTAAGTGACCGATTGATTCTGTGTTGTGAGAAACAAATTAAAATAGATGAAAAAAGTTAGTATGAAAAACTATCTACTATAAACATGTAGTTGTAACAATTACACATTGTTTTGCGATAAAGTATTCGATAGGGAGAGATTGTTATATTTTGTGTGGATGGGTTAAGGTTTGATGGTATGGTAAATCACTAGTTTCCAATGGCTACAATATTTGAAAGATTACGTTTTAATGTGTTTTTTTCTTTTTTTTTAAAAAAAAATGGATCATTGACATGTAATGAATGTTAGCCAGTTATTTTTTAAAGCTAGAAATGAACTGGTTCATTTTTGTACTTTTTTGAATATTATTCTGTGATCAAATTTATGTTGATTTTTTTTTAGCGTTGATTAATGTAAAATTCTGGATTTTGTTTTCAAAAATGACTACATTTCACAATTTTCTCAATTGTAGTTTTGGATGTCAGTGTTTTTTTGTACATTGGACGGCTGTTTCGTCCTGGTATGGGACTCATCAGTGGCAGTGCTCACCCATGACTCCTACTACTCGCAGGATTCGAACCCGTGACTTTCAGTCTTAGAAGCGAACATCTAACCACTTGACCACTGGGCCGGCATCCGATGGTGTTAACATTTAACTCTGATCAATCTAGGGATTTTGCGTGACCTCACTCATTGCTGAAGGTTAGGATGATTGTAGGAAAATATGCAATTCTGATGAAACGAAAAACGTTTATCTTACTTTACCATTTATAGAGACGAATCAAATGGTTTATTCTTAAGACAGAGACTAAAAAAACAGTCATAGAGAAAATATACTACTCCGCTAAACTGATTATAATTGAAAATACTAAGCCTATGATTGCACATTGGGCATAGACATTGATCGAATGATTACAAAACATCCCATTTGCATTTATCAATTTACTTGTTTGTGTTGACACACATCTATATGGAGTAGTGATCAGACATTGCAGTGAAGGTTCATGTAACACGTACCTAAATGGCTTTAAAATCAGTTAACGTCAGATGAGCCCGATAAATGAGGGAAAATAGAAAACCATGTTCATCGATCGTAAAACACATAATTGAGACAGATTATAAAAATTACATCAAGACAGCCTTCAAAACATTGCATAGAAGTGTTGAAGGACGAATTTTTAGGTTGGTGGAAGCTTTGGCTATTCGTAAACAAACACCCCACCCTTATGTGTACAGAAACAATTGGTTACAACCTTGAATTCACGCTGGTAATCTTTAGGCTATTTAATGGCCTAGGGTAATGTAACAATTTCCTAACATTTCTTATTCTTTCAATTTGAGATGCAAATTAAAACGTGGCTTACAATTTACATGATTTTAATCCATTTTAATGAAAAGAAGAAAAATTAACATGGAAGCATATGTACTGATTGTATTTTGTAATTTCTCCGGTTTACATGTACTACTTCTCAAAGCATATACATCAGTAGAACAGATGGAAAGGTCTCGTGTCCATATGTATGAACCTATTCTATAGAAGCCTAGACGAATAAAATAACACTGCAGTCGCCTGTGAGAAGATCCTTCCAGATAATTTTGAAGCGAAGAACATCACGTTTATGGCGTTTTGTTAAAAAAAATAACCAATCTCTATAAAAAGACTTAGAATTCGATAGCGTGGATAGGCAAACACTTTGGAGTCTTCTTCGATACTACGGTGTACCTGAGAAAATAGTTGACGTCATACGGAATCATTATGATGGATTCAACTGCAAAATCGTACACGAAGGACAGGTAACAGACTCTTTCGAGGTGAAAACTGGTGTCAGTTAAAGTTGCTTACGCTCACCCTTTCTCTTTCTTCTGGTCATCGACTGGATTATGAAGACGTCAGCATCTGGAGGGAAGCACGGTATCCAATGGACAGCTTGGACGCAGCTGGACGATTTTGACTTCGCAGATGATCTGAATCTTGTATCGCACACGCAACAACAAATGCAAGAGAAGACGACCAGTGTAGCAGCAGCCTCTGCAGCAGTAGGTCTCAACATACATAAAGGGAAAAGTAAGATTCCACGATACAACACAACATGCACCAACCAAATCACTCTTGATGGAGATGCCTTGGAGGGCGTTGACACATTTACATATCTTGGCAGCATCATCGACAATCAAGGTGGATCCGATGCAGATGTGAGGGCGCGGATTGGTAAAACAAAGGCGGCATTTCTACAATTGAAAAATATCTGGAACTCCAAACAACTTTCAACCAAAACCAAAATAAGGATATTCAGTGTAAATGTCAAGACAGTTCTACTGTATGGAGAACTACCAAAGCCATCATCCAGAAGATACAATTGTTTATTAACAGCTGTCTACGCAAAATACTTCGGATTCGTTGGCCAGACACCATCAGCAACAACGAACTGTGGGGAGAGAACAAACCAGATTCCAGTGGAGGAGGAAATCAGGAAGAAGCGGTGCAAGTGGATAGGACACACATTGCGGAAAGCACCTAACTGCGTCACAAGACAAGCCCAAACTTGAAATCCTCAAGGTTGGAAGAAATGAGGAAGGCCAAGGAAAACATTACGCCGAGAAATAGAGAAACATATGAGAAAAATGAACAGAAACTGGACAGAACTGGAAAGGAAAGCCCAGGACAGAGTTGGTTGGAGAAAACTGGTGGGCGGCCTATGTTCCTTTGGGGGTAACAGGCGTAAGTAAGTAAGTAAGTAAGAAATAAAAAGACTTAATACTGAATTCGTCCATCTTAAAAATATTCAATTATCAAACTGATTTAGCCATTGTGACTTAAATCTAAGTAATTCCATCTTTTTATTCCAATACGCTTGTCTGAACTTCCTCAACGTAATAACCGAAACCAAAATTAGTGAATGATCTATACTGTTTATCAATTCACTTAAATCTATGCCAAATACTTATTCAATCACAGTCAAATGTTGAACAATGAATGCTTAAGGAATAGAATTACGGATGAGTTATTTTTTAAAAAAAAAATGCGAAAATGCCACCAAACAGAAATTAATGATTGTTATCTCATTATATCAAAATTAAATGTTAAGCAACTTTTCTGTTTACAATTCAAAATGACAAATACCAGTAATCCAGTTCAACTTACCAATAAACCACTTTCATCGGAACCATGATATACTATGCCTAAATCACGACATGTTTCCACAAATGCTTTTTCATCAGGAGATGAAGCCTAGAAAAGAAAATATATATATTTTTTAAAAAATACCATGATTTTAGTCTTATAAAAATTACATTTTTAAAAACAAATATATTCAAAGTTAACGGAGAGTTAGACCATTGTTAGAAAGCTGGAAGCGTTGGACTGCCTATCTGTCCTAGTATAACACTGATCAGCCATGCGCATCTACAATGTCCGCACGCGGGAAATGAACTCAGGATATTCGGTCTAGCGCGCACAAACCCCTAATCGTATGGTATTGTATGAGGCCTTTAGTTACCCAGCGAAACTAATGGATGATGGTCACGCAATATTGTACGTTGATTGAAGTTAGATATCAACACAGTTACATGCCAGCATCATGGTCTAAAGTTTATGTGTTCACAAGCAAGAACGAAGGTCCTGAGTCATGGATACACACCTCTGATGAGTTCTATACCAAAGTGAAGTGGCTTTCGTGTGCTTCCAAGTTTGCAAAGACGTTCTAGAACTGATCGATCCGTGATTTTATTCAAATCCAACGATCTATACAATTCTATAATTATAAATAGATATATATTATTTGATAACTGTGAATTGCATTTATCGTGTTAGATTGTTTTAGTAAATAAAATCTGTAGTCCAAAATAAAACTTCTTTCAAAGAATAATCAAATGTGAATTTATTTTGGTGCTTAAAATCTAATTCATTACGTTCAATTTCTATTGAACAAAATGAGAATAGATTAACAATCAAAATCTTGAACTGAGAACAAAAAAAACTACATTTTTTTAAATTATAAATGTAGTCAATTTAAAAAAAATATTCTTATCAGTGTATAATGCCGATTAAGTAGTTTTTGATTACTCTCTTTATTTCCAGAATAATGTTAGGGGTGTTAGATCCCCACAACTCGCTTGATAAATGTCTTTATTTTGGATTCATTTCATGAGCCGATCAGTTGACCTTGAGATCACATTTCCCAGCAGGAAAATACTTTGCTGTGATTGGTTACTGTGTTATTTGAGTATGCTAATTTGTGATTCTGCCAAGGACATCTTTATGGTGTATAAATAAACGCGATTCGTGTACTTGAATTTATTGTGTGCTGGCTGGGTGTTGGTAAAATACACTTCTTAAGCAATATCAAGACTTCTTGCTGGTACAGTTTCTTCAAGGGATCACAGTAGCCTACCTGGACGCTGGTTTATTGTTTTGTTCTGGTTATTCGACTAAGATGAACCCGTAATAGTTTCAAGCATACCAGAAACGAGTGTAACAATAAATGAAATTTTATTTTGGTCAAATACAGCATTTATATATATACCCACTGGTTGGATAGCGATCGCAGCTACTTGAAACAAAATGAACATTTCTGATCTTATCTGAATGTAGACGATGAGTATCTTAAATTTGACGGCGAAAACGTCACTTCGTTGTGGTTATTAGCAACTACGATATCAACCCTTTTTATTATACATGACTATGATGATTTTTTTTCGAACAACGTAGTACGCATCAAGCGTAATTAGGTTTTGAGGTCGTATACTTCTTACTATGATTTTTGGTTTTATGTTCAACATCTATATACAGTTTATCACACTCATATGAGCGTGACACGCTTCTCGTTATTCGAAAATGGAAGACAGGCTTCCACTTGAGAACAACTCTACTTTCTCCACGAATGTCTTCGTCTGCAATTCTGCCAATAAGTGTCCGGTACAGACCACCTTTCAACTACCCATTGGGATGCCGAATAGTGGAGTATACATTTTATCAACTAACATATGTCATTTGTCTGTTTATCATCAAAATTTGAAATCATCAATCAATCATTGTTAGGCCACCATTAGAAACTTAGAAGCACTGATTGATTGGTGATTTCAAATGTGTAAAAACACAGACCTCCAGAACTCTGCCCCGAAATATCGTAACAGTGCTCACTAGTGGCTAGCTTCGTGACGAAATTATCGGAGTTCTAGTTCAGAAGGCGTGACCAAAGGGGTTCAACCCTGTCGGGTGTAGGCAGTAACTACCAAAGACAAATGGGTGAGGTCGCGCAAAAATGCGTAGATCAATCAAAGTTAGACTATAACACCGTTGGATGCTGACCTAGTGGTCCGATGGTTAGGCGTTCGCGCACAATACAGAAGGTCCCGGGTCCGAATCCGACGAGGTGCAGGAGTCGTGGGTGCGCACTGCTGATGAGTCCTATACTGGGACGAAACGGCCGTTTCGCAGAGTTTACAGGTTTCTAATGGTGATCTAACAATGATTGATTGATGATTTCAAATGAGTAAAAACACAAACCTCCAAAACTCTGTCCGAAAATATCATCAAAATTCCTGTTTTTCCCAATATTTTGGTCTTTTACAGCAAATGAGAAGCTATGACATGTAACAGACTGATTTTATTCTGGAAAGTGTTACAGTGATATGTTGTCAAGCCCAACATGGCTTTTCCCAGCCCGCGAGAACAAATTAATTCATCCATTCTTCTCGAGTTATTCTTATTATTCACGCGTCTTTTAACCATGTCACTGACTCACCGACAACTTTGGTTGTTCTTACATGAGTGTGTGTGTGTGTAAGTTGTTTAGTTTGCTTATCGCATAACTAACTGTAAATATTTCATTATGTTTAATCACAAGAAGTCGGCCCAATCACCTTCTCTGTATAGCTTTCCCGCTTTTTTATTCTCATGTCTGTCTGCATGAACGATTGCATAAAATAAACTTATTCAACGTATTTAGCTTCTTAGTGCCGTTGTCTCAAAAAACAAGGTTTATCTAACTAAGCAAGATGTACAATCGTTCGTCCAAATCAGAGTCAGATTGTTAGCCATTAAGATGTAAATGTTTTTGATGCTACTATGGCGGCCGTCATCACCAACAAGACATTTACGTTCTATTCAACAATAATAATAACTGATTTGTTAAGTTATCAAGCATAAAGTTTTATTTTGTATGGAGAATGATAGTTTTTTCTCAAATCTTGTCTACTTACAAATTGCTTCACATTTGTACTGTACACTAGCTTATTTACAAAAATAGATGAAGATTGGTAAGTTACACATTTTTGAAACCATGAATCGATCAATTTTAGACCACCAATAGAAACCTGGAAGCACCGGACGGCTGTTTCGTCCTGGTATGGGACTCCTCAGCAGTGTGCATCCACGACTCCTGCATCCCATAGGATTCTAACCCAGGACCTTCGGTATTGTGCGCGAACGCCCTAACCGTCAGACCACTGAGCCGGAATCTAACAGTGTTAATATCTAACTTGATCAAATTCACGGAGTTGCGCAACCTCATACCTGTGCTCACTAGTGACTAGCTTCGTGAGGAATCTTCTCCGAGTTCTAGTGGGAAGACGTGACCAGTGAAGTTCAACCTGTTCGGGTGTAGGCAGTGTCTACCGAAGACTGTGTATGAGGTTACGCAACTCCGTGAATTTGATCAAGTTAGACATTAACACCGTTAGATACCGGCTCAGTGGTCCGATGATTAGGCATTCGCGCACAATACCGAAGGTTCTGGGTTCGAATCCTGTGGGGTGCAGGAGTCGTAGATGCACACTGCCACTGAGGAGTTGTCTCATACCAGGACGAAACGGCCGTCCAGTGCTTCCAGGTTTCTAATGGTGGTCTAACATTGATCGATTCATGGTTTCGAAAATGTGGAAAATAGATGAGTTCTTCAGGTCATTCGAAATGTGACTGATGTATTATTTATTATGTTACAAAATTCTGTTCTAATGATTAATATCAGTTTAATAATTTTCATTTATTTTTATAGAAATTGAAAAATTTTAGCAAGATAAAAATCATTTTTCATTTAACTATTTTCTTATCAAATATATATTTATCATAAAATTTTAAAACATTTAGAAATGACAAGTAACTCAAGCAGATATAGAATTTATTAATTAGATTTATAGAAATCAGTATTTTTCCACATTCAAAGCATGAATCAATCATTGTTAGACCACACCAATAGAAACCTCGAAGCACTGAAAGACAGCCGTTTCGTTTTTGGTATAGAACACCAGTGACAGTGCGCATCCACGGCTCATAAACATCGCGGGATTCAAACCCAGGACCTTCGGTCTTGACAAGAACGCCTAACCTCAGGACCGTTGAAGATCCTGGGTTCGAATCATACGAGTAGCAGGAGTCGTAAATGTGCACTGCCACTGAGGAGTCCCGAATCAGGAAGAAATGGCTGTCTCTCAGTCCCTACAGGTTTCTTATGATAGTCTGAAAATGTATAAGAATTTAGTAAGTTAACAATTTGTTAAAATTCATTTCATAATCTAGACTGTATGGATTTCACAAAATGAGGTATTTAAATAAATTTTGATTTATCGAACCATTGATTTTATAAACAGTAATGACAAAAAAAATTTAGTGCGAATCCATTGACCAAACACTATCAGTAACTATCGATTGCGGTAAGGAACAAATTGGATTCTAGTTGAGTGAAAAACTGGGAAAAAGCACTGGACGCCAATAGGATACACATTGCAGAAATCACCCAACTGCTTCACGAGGTAGACCCTAACTTGGAACCCCCAAGTAAACGAAATAGACCAAAGAACACATTGCGCCGATAACTGAGGACAGAATGAACAGTTATTGCAACGAACTGGGAAGGAAGGCCAAGGCCAGATATGTGTTAAAGAATCTTCGCTGGCAGTTTATTCGGCACGAGAGAAAACAGGCATAAGCAAGTAAGCGATAGTGTGGAAAGAAATTTGTAGCTGACTGCCTAACACTAGTCATTAGTGAATATCTTACCGTAGTTAGAAATACTTACCTAAGTATTCCGAGTTATTCAAATAAAACATTCACAACGAAAATAAAAACACCACGACAGGATAACAATAAATCAAACTATATTTTCAACTCCATTCTTTTCATCAAGATCTATTAGCTAGTAGAGTTGAAGAAAAATTAATCTACTTTAGAACTAGTAGAACTAATCCAGTAAAAACTTTCAATTCATTCAAACATGATAATAAAAATGATCA